CCTTCAAGAGGCTCTAGACGAATCAAACAAGCGTAAAAGCCGCAAGCGGCGATACGTACGGACAGAAGAGACTCTTACTGTAGGCGAGGTACAAGAAGTATTAGCTGAACAGGCGGGTAGTAGTCGTGGCGACGGTGAGAGTGCGTCGAAGAGGGTGCGAGGAGAGAGGCGGTGCGGGCGTTGTAAGCAGACTGGACATAACGCTCGTACCTGCGCAGTTGATATAGATAGTGCAAGTGATAGCAGCGATTCTAATAATTAATTTAGTATATTGTAATAGTTTATTGACTGTGATAAAAGTGCGTGATAACGTCTCGACGTCGACGCGCTGGTGGGGCGTGAGCGACTCGCTTGGGTGAGCGACTCGCTTGTGAACCACGTTAGTAGATAATAAGAGCCTATTTAAGGTTATAAATTTCTATTAGAAGTAATACCTTTCCTCTTTTGCGATTAACTTGAAAATCATAACTCTAGTATACGTAGGTATCTCCTCTTCAAACTATCGCCCCTTACACAGGGATCTATTATAATCCTCACTACTATACACATAAGCACTAGTATAGGACAATGGAATGTGGATATCTATTCTATATCTACTGTATGGAAAATCAGCCTAATCTACTACTGTGTCTTACCTAGGTTAAATCACAGGTTATTAAACGGTATTCAACCTTCACAGCTACAAGAACACTTATTACTATCAATGAATCTTAGCCGACAATAATCTATTACCCAACAACTTTAATTACTAGTAATCTTACTACCGTATAACTCGTTCTAGTGCTTATGGTTTCGTTGTTTCATTTACAGGTTATCTCGACGTATCATGGTAGCAGACTACACTAGGTGATAGAGACTCTAATTAACAGAAGCGGTGAGGTACTATACCTTGTACCTTGTAGACAATATATAGGCTATAACTAGTTTCCTTATTATCTTCGTACTATAAATAATAGGATCCTTCACCACTTGTTGCAGTTATTTGACAAACTACCTTGCCTATCAGACTTCTCCTATTACAACATCTCTACGCGAACTCCATTTCACAACCAATCATGTATATCTTTCACCTTATTACTGTTTCGCTGCTATGCTTCATTAGTAGTACGTATGCTGTAAATTGCAGCAACAATTGTGCTGGTCGTCCTGAGGGTAGTCAATGCAAATACAACTGTGACGTATGCAACTCCTTTGATCAAATTTGACTAGAATACTAATGCATGTGTAGAATGGTCTCTCTGGCAGTGGATTTTGCCAAGTTCTTGGATCAACCTACGCTTGCGGCTAGATTATATAGATACTGTTACAAAAGCTTCACCTATGTACTTGTCCCTAGCTAGATATATACCAGGTTTTGGAATGTTTACAGCTTCTTTTGCATCATTATCTGTGTCATGTTGATTTGAGCAAGTCTATCCACCGCGCGAACAGGAGCCGCTACGCCCAAAACTGGGTCAAACACGGAGACGGGCAAGGGAGAAGCGGACAGGCCCATAGCTCCAGTCACTTTTCTTTAGTCAATAGCTGACTCTTTTCCGCCAATGATTGCGCCAACTGTATCATGGGGATATTTTGCATGATATCAAACACGGAGCACTCGACAGTCATCTCGCGAGCGACCCAGTTCCTCACCTCGACAGCGACCAGGCTATCAACACCGTAGGCGCTCAGGGGCCTGCTCGCATCAATGTCGGCCTCGGGCGTCATCATGAGGGTGGCAAGTCTCTGCACAAGGGCTGTTGCGATGATGCGGACGGCGTCGTCGCCAGGGTCACAGCGCGTCAACTCTTGTCGCAGAGAGAGGGTTTGAGCGGCATTGGTTGACGCGCCAGCAGCCTGGATGCGCAAAGCAGCGAAGCGAGCGTCGGCGATCCAGTACCAGGCGTCCTGGTGCTCGTTGAAGGGCAGGCCGCACATGAGCTGGGCAGGGTGGTGCGTGGGGCCCTGGACGGCGGTGGCGAGCAGGCCATGCAGGTCCGCCGTGTGCATGACCTTGAGGCCCATGGCCTTGACGTGGTCGACGTATTCGTCATGCTCGGCTACGAAGCCTACGGACAGGAGGTAGCCAATGTCGATGGTCAGGACGGGCAGGCCGTGGCTGCGGCGGAATGCAGCAAAGGCGTCCTGGAAGCTGTTGCCGCACGCGTAGTTGGCCTGGCCGCGGTGGCCCATGACGCCGGCGAGCGAAGACAGCATGATGAAGAAGTCCATGTCGCGCGGTAGCAGCTCGTGCAGGTTCCAGGAGCCGCGGACCTTGGGGGCGACGGTGGTGCGCACGTCGTCGGCCGTCATCTTGTCGAAGAGACGGTCCTGCAGCACCATGGCGCCCGTGGCGCATCCGCGGATGGGCGGCAGGCCCTTTGCCGCCGCGTCGTCGAGGGCCGCGTGCAGGGCCGCCTTGTTGGCCACGTCGCAGTCATACGCCAGCACTGTCGTCCTGTATGTGTGGCGCAGGTGGGCGGCAAAGGCCTGGTTGCGCGGGCTGCTGGCGGCAGAGCGCGAGAGCAGCACGATATGGCGGGCGCCCTTGTCGGCCAGCCAGCGCGCGATCTCGCACGTGATGCCGCCCAGGCCGGCGATTACATAAGCGGCGTCCGGCTCAACGTCGACGCGCGGCACGCGAGGCACCGCTCGCACAACGTCGCCCTCGTCGACGCGCACAACCACCTTGCCCATGTGCTTGCCCGCCTGCATGTGGCGGAACGCCTTCTCGACCTCGCCCATGGTGAAGACCTGCAGCGGCGCAACCGGCCGGACCGCGCCCTCGTGTATCAGCCGCGCCGTCTCGTGCCAGAGCGCCACGGCCCGCGGCGTCGGCCTGTTCTCAAACTCGAGCAGGTTGATGCCGATATAGCTCTTGTTGTCCAGCAACGGCTTCATGTCCAGGCCCGTGTTGGCGAACAGGTCGGCCTTTCCAATCTCCAAGAAGCGCCCAAACTTGGCCAGGCAGTCGGTCCACGAGAGCCGCAGCGCCTCGCCAGCCAGCGAGTTCAGCACCACATCCACGCCCTGGCCGCCCGTCGCCCGCAGCACGCCCTTGACGAAGCTGGTGTCGCGGCTGCTGAAGATGTGCTCTTCGCGGATGCCGTACTGCTCGACAAGGAGCTGTCTCTTGGCCTCTGCACCCACCGTCGCAAAGACCTCTGCCCCTTTGGCCTGCGCAATCATGATGGCAGCTTGCCCAACACCGCCCGCCGCCGCATGGATCAGTATCTTCTCGCCTGCAGCGACACGGCCAGCCGTGACCAGAGCGTAGTACGCCGTGAGGAAGATCAGGGGCATCGACGCGGCTTGCTCGAAGCTCATGCCAGCGGGCACGCATATGGCGCCCTTGGCTGGGAAGCGGACAAAGGTGGAAAACGTGTCACATGATGCCGTCATGACCCTGTCTCCCACCTTCAAATCGCTGACGGCCGATCCGACTCGCGTAATGACGCCAGACGCATCCACGCCCAGCTTGTTCTCCGCCAGGCTACCCAGCGCCACAAGCACGTCTTTGAAGTTGAGCCCAACGGCCTTGACTTCAATTTCGACCCAGTCCTCGGCAAGGGGCGTATGGTACCTCTCATCTTCTTCCCACTGGAATGTGTCGAGCAAACCAGGTGTCTTGATAGTCAGCTTGAGGGGGCGTCCGCAGCTCTTAAAAGATACCATCTCGGCATCGCCCTTGGCCTCATACTTGCGCAACCAAGCATCTACTTCGAGTGCCCGTTCAACGCGAGGGACATGAACCAAGTCACCACGTGCGGCGAACTCACCCTCTGTACCGTCGCCTTCCACGTGCGCCTGGGCAATCTTCAGCGTCATTTGCGACGCCTTCTCAAAGTCAATTGCCCGTGGTGCCTCCAGATCGACACAGACAAGGCGGACGTTGGCATTCTCGTTGCGAATCGCTCTGGCGAGTCCCACCATGAGGCTTTTCATGGGACACGGCGTGTCGTAAGCACCACCACCCGTGATCCACATGGCGCCCTGGGACGAAAGGACAACTTCACGCAACCTGTCCCAATTTTCATCCGTCAAGTCTACTAGCATTGGCTCCTCCCACTCGGCAAGGCAGATGCAGTATTTTCCTAGTACATGCGCCTTGGTAATGTTAGTCCACTTGGCAATACTGGTTTCGTTGCCGGCCGAGGAGAATGTCTTCTGTATGCTGTAGGCGAGGTGATCGGATGCTTCGGTACCAGTGCTTATGACAACGCACGAGGGCAGTTTACAGGCTGCCTTGCTGGGCTTGGTCGAGATGATCAATGAGACGGGCTCTTTTGAGCTGTCCCTATCACCGCGGATATCAACATCGACACCCGAGAATCCGGCCAACTTTAACGCCGCATTCCACTCGTCAGCATCCAGAAGCGGCCCTCCTTTCCTACCATCCGCTTCGCCCAGCCACCAGCCAGGCAAGGGGCCCATAATGAAGCCGGAGAAAATGCGCTTAATGGTCACCTCGGACAAGATAAGATGGCCGCCAGGCATCAGCAGCATTTTGCAATGCTCCAGCGTTTCCTGAATGCTCTTTGTCGCATGGAGCACGTTGGCACACACGATGAGGTCAAACGTCTCTGGGCTGAATCCCTGCTCCGTAGGCGAGTTTTCAATGTTGAGCGTGCGGAACTGCATAATTGACGCGTCCTTGTTGAATCGGTCGGCAGCTTTGGCAAGGAAACCAGGAGATATGTCCGTAAAGCAGTATTGAGCTGCCCGGGAGCTGCCATCGGGCTGGCGTAATCGCTCCAAAACATGATAAGTTGTACCGCCTGTTCCCGCGCCGATTTCCAAGATGCGTAGCCCGGGTCGTTTATCAGCAATCAAACCAACATACTCGGCCACGTTCGTGTTGAAACTTGTACCAAAAGCTCCGCGGTAGAAAGAATAGAGAAGGTCTCCTTCAGTCATGCATTGTAGGGCTTCCACCTCACGAGTGAAGATGCGGTCAAGGTTCTGCCCGATGCGGTCTACCATTTGCACTGTGATATCGCCGCTGTCCGAAAACGCGATGCGTTGGCGGGCTTTTTGCATCTCAGTCTCGACGTCTGCGGGCAATGGAGGAAACTGTTTGACAGTGTCATGCATCCATTCCACATATGACTTCCAGAAGCCATCCTGCGGTACATGTGCCTTGCCCTCTTCGCTCTGGAACCAGTCGAGAATGCCGTAGATGTACACTAAGCAGACAAACTCGAGCAGATCCAATACCGAGTCATCGTCCTTGCTCTTCAATGTACGCTTATATATGATCTCTTTGATTTGAGAGGGCGTTAACAAGTCAGCATCCACGTGCCATTTCTGCGCAAAGCAGGATGCTCGTGTCTCTGGTCTCTTGGATGCATCTTCTGCTATACCCACAGATGCAAGTATAACACCTTCCATGACCACGACGGGCTCAGTCTTGCTTGCCTCTGAGATGGTAATGTCGGAGGTCCACGTCGTGTAGCTCAGCTTCTTTGCCGTAGAGCAACCATGTAACTCAGTGCCAGCCGTCTTCGGTATGTTCGCCGAAACAAAGATACGATCAAAAGACCTAGGAACAACTGCTTCTTTGAGTTGCTGATCTTCACCAGAGATACTAGGGAAGAGGAGGTGAAGAACCGAATCAAGAGTGACAGGGTGTACGACATGGGGGAATTCGAAGCACTTGGGCATGATCGATTTGGTATCCGGCACTTTGATGATGCCATAGCTGGCATTGGGCCCTGCATATAGCTCAGTCATATTGCGGAAGGTTGGTCCGTATTGCATGCCAATTGCCTCGACTGTGTCATACAGGAAGCTTCGGGCTGGCTTCTGACAGACTTTTTGCGCTTTGGCTAGCGAAGACATGTAAGCCTCGTTTTCAAGCGCCAACTCGCATTCCATCGATTTGGAGAAATTTTTGAAGGTGACCGAGACGAGTCCCCTAGCGTGAGCACTCCAAGAGCTTGTTTCATCGCTCCATGAAGAGACGGTGAACTCATACAGTGTAGATGACGGAGCTGCTCGTGTTCCCGTACGGCGGTTGTGCAGCTGTGTCATAACCTCGATACCTTTATCCGTGTCGGGTACGCGAAGGGCAGTGCTAATGCTGACATCACGCAATTCAAAGCCGTGGACCTCAGCATTCGTCTCTTGCGCCAGTTGGTGTGCCGCTTCAATCGCCATGACGAGCATACCGGCTCCCGGATAAAGAATATCGCCCTGGACTCTGTGCTCACGAACCCAGGGGTTTTCATTGCACCGTAGAAAGTTGCGCCATGTGTGCTCTGGCATTCCAGGAAGGCGGTAGCCAATGAGGTCAGTACGTGGCGATTCCCGAAGGCGGTATTGCCGGCTCAGGTGGGACTCGTCCCAGTATGGCTTGTGATTCCAGGAGTAAGGCGGCAAATCGACAAGCATGTTTACATTCTCGTGCGACAAGTTATTGATCTTGTTGACATCGACAGGGTATCCGTGAGTCCAGAGGTTGCCCATGGCCTCCAAAGCAGTGGAAGCACCGTCACAGTGCCGGCGAAGAACAGTTACATATGTCAGTTCTGCAGCATGGCTATCGTTGCTGAAGATATCCATCAGGTAGCTGCGCAATGCCGAGTGAGGACCAAGCTCGACGAATAAATTGGCAAACGGTTTTGGCGATTTGCACCCCTGCGTGTGGTTTAGGAGAGACTGAACGGCAGCGACAAAATTGACAGGTGATACCAGATTATCAACCCAGTAGGAGGGCCTTAATTGCCCTGGTGACACGACACTTCCTGTCACCGAGGAAAACATTGGAATGGTGGATGTTGATTCATGCGCAATGCCTTCCAAGGCCTTTTCGTATCTCTCGCGTGCCGATTCCATGTGGAAGGAGTGATATGCGACATCCATAGGTAACCTGGTACAGGATATATGTGCGTCTTCCAACTCTTTTTCTAATTCCTCAATGGCCGCAGCGTCACCGGTGATAGTGCATGCTTTGGTAGAGTTGAAGCACCCCACAACCGCCTTACCACTCTTCAGGGCAGTGAGTTGATCCTGGATACTCTCTGCACTGGCAGACACAGCCAGCATGCCTCCTTTCTTGTATACAGTCTTGCTGACCTGTCCTCTCAACCAAGCAATTTTCATTGCAGCTTCGTGACCGATGAAACCGGCAGCATATGCAGCTGCAATCTCGCCGCTCGAGTGACCAAGAACAGCAACCGGGTTTACAGCAAAATCGCGCAAAAGATCTACGAGAGCAATCTGGATGGCGGTGCACGCAGGCTGGCTGTAATCGGTCTCTCTTAGCTTGCAGTCTGCCTCACTGCGACTTAGCTCCTCTCCAAGGCTCCATGGACAACCGAATGAGTGAAGTATTGCTTCAGAACTCTGCATGCTGTTCAATAAAGCAGGATACTGGGAGAGACTCTTCCCCATTGCGTGCCACTGTGCGCCTTGGCCGGTGAACACAAAGGCGATCCGCGGGATAACAGCGCTTGACGATCGTATGACTGGAGGAAGGCTTGAAATCCTCTCTCGTAGGTCGCATACGTTAGAGGAAACGGCATATGATTTCCAGGGCAGTGTGGTTCTCTTAGAGCTCAGCGTAAAGGCTAGCTCGCTCATAAAGGAGGGGGTAGTGGTGTGTTTAGTGGCCAGATAATTTTGTAAACACTCCGCATTACGCTGGACACCTCCTTGGTCGTTGGAAGAGAGGATGAACAATTTCGGTATTGGCTGCAGGTCGTACATGATCTCACTGGACACGTCACTCATACCGTCGTTCGATTCGCCACTGGTCGCCTCATCAGCGACCACGCTCGTAGACCTACTGGAAATGTTACTCAAGTGACCACCGCGCAGACAGCTTGGGATAGAGAATGCTGATGTCGTAGCATGTCGACCTTTCAAGCCATGTCTCGACATGAAAGATGCCGCGTCCTCCAGAATTACATGTGCGTTGGCACCACCAAAGCCGAAGCTATTGATGCTTGCGCGGCGAGGTCCGACATGTGGCCAGGGGGTCAGGTTTGAAGGTATTTTGACGTTTTCTGGCAGAGTAATTTCGGGATTCAACTTCTCGAACCTGCGTGCTGCTGTCAGTACGCGCGTGCCTAGCGTTACATGATCGCCTACCAAAGATTTTGAGGTATCAAACCTCGCTCAACAGCTAGCGCTGCTTTAATAACGCCGGCGACGCCAGCTGCACCCTCAAGATGCCCAATATTTGTTTTGGCAGATCCAACATAAAGATCTGACTTGCGTCCCTTGATTGATCCAATCGTCTTGAAGAATGGCTTGTGCTTCCAAAGGGTCACCTTCGCATCGCTGGTCAGCACAGTCTCTTTCGTGATGCTTTGTTAACGTTCGGACAACACCTACCAGCCTGTGTTCCTGTCCCATGTGCTTCTACATAGGATGTTTCTGCGGCATCTACTCCAGCCATCTCGTACGCTCTTCGAATCAACTCCTGTTGAGCTTCGCTGTTGGGTAGCGAGATACCAGGTGTGCGCCCATCTTCATTAGTGGCGGTAGCTAATACGACTGCACGAATGGTATCACCATCACGCAGGGCTGCATCTAAAGGCTTTTTATTGCCGCCTGTCAGCTACATTCATTATAGCAGAGCAGTAGCCAGTTGCTCGAGTAGGTACCTTCAAGATTGTAACACCGAAACCTTCTCCCCGAGCAAAGCCGTTGGCGTCGGCATCCCACATTTTGCTCTTGCCGTCGGAAAACAAAATCTTAGCAGCTCCTAACAAAATAGACATGTCAGGTCCAAACATTAGATTTGCTCCCCCAACCACGCTCTGGGCCGTCACATTAGCAAGGTCCAAGATCTGCAATTGAGACTTACCATCTCAGCTTCTCCCGTTCGGATGCTCTGACAGACTAGATGAAATGCAGTCAGACTGGACGAGCATGCTGTATCGACTGTCAAGGAGGGACCTCTAAGGTTATAGAACCAAGATAGCTGATTCGAAGCTAGTGATGATGACATGCCGGTGGCATCTAATAGGAGTCTTCAGCTTAGTTCAAATGGAAATCATGTACCCAACTTGGGTCATACATTGTTGCATTACTTACGATACATTGAAGGGCCCTCATTATCACGGGCTTGCAGGTTAGGAAAGTCGGCTGTGAAGGTTCCGATGTAGCACGATGTCTGCGTCCCCGACACCTGTTCCAGACTCAGGCCGGCTTGGTTAGAAATATGCGTTAGTCTCGCTTATTCAATCTATGAATTATATAGACAAACCGTTTTCAAACCCCTCGTAAGTGGCTTCCAATAGCATACGGTGCGTTGGATCCATAGCCTTGGCTTCTGTAGGTGTGATGCTAAAAAACGGAGCGTCGAACACCTTGAAGTCTTGTTGAAGAAAGTGAGCATGTCTATTTCACAATCCAGTCAGAACAGTCTTCGTGACGGAGAAAAGCTGGTACTGATTTTATCTTTGTTGAATACTGCCTAATCGGTTTGAATCAGGATGATAAAAAGCGTCGACGTTGTATCGATCCTTGGGAATCTCTGTGCGGGCACTGCGCCCCTCGACCAGCATACGATAGAAGGCCTCGGGATCCCGAGCATCGCCGGGACCCCTGAAGGCGATTCCGATAACAGCGATTGGCTTATTCATTTTGGATTTGCGTAATGCGTAATGGAGATACTGTAGCTTGAAGGACAAGACCTAGTACGACGCTGTATAAAGCAAATTCGGCGTATGAAATCTGCGAAGATATCAGCTGGTAATACCACACATCCGAAAACCGAGTACATATAGCTCTTGAAACCTACCTATGCTATAAAATACGCTCATACAGGGGCCACGTCACGAAGGATAGGATGTTGTCACTGATCAGAACTTCGCATCTGAATTTGCAGAAACTCTAGGGAGATGTACGAGAAGAAAGTGTCCAATACTAGTTCTGAATTTGAGCACGCACCAAGTTCATTGTGCCAGACACATGTCAACAAAGAGGTCCTAGTCCACGTTTGGAATTGGTGGATTCTCAGATCATGCATTCAGGGAAGTTACCGTGTTTTTCAGTTTTGTGGTGCTGCATCATGCACGGGCATAACGTAGAAACGGGCAGATGTCTTCGCACGTGGGTAAAAGAGTGGGGCGATTATACGGCTTGACTGGTTCGGAGATGTCAAATCGTGACGGAACATACGTCGCGACACTCGTGTTCTACTAGCTGACCAAAAGCTTGAATGGAAACGTGGAAATGCTTGTTGTTCGAACTAGAGGCAATCCTCAGAACTTTGGTCAAGGCGCACAAGATATACAGGTAAGAGTAGGGTAGACTGTCAGGACAATCGCACCAGCCCATCCTCATCCCAGTTCAGGTGATCCGGACCACTTGAAGGCCCTCGGTTTTGGGGCTACTTTAGCGTCGGCGTTATACATTGCTCTAGATATTACCCTCGCTCAGGGCAGCGAATCGGGAATGGACCAGGCTTCAGCTTCCAATGTGGGATAAGTAGATGATAGATGATATGGGCTGAGATATGCCGCGACGATGACCGAGTACTGCGATCATGTTTAAAACAGTGGTTCGACAACACCTTTCAGGGCATTCGCGATCCAATCCTTAATCCGGACTGGCCTTGTCTATTTGGATGAGTAACATCCATATCCTCATGCATGCCTGCCGCCTAGTTTATTGAATTGCTGGCGGTAGACACAGGGTGCTCAAACAAAGGCTTAATCGGGATACATTTTTGAAGATTTATGAGTCATGCTTTTCCCGCAACATGGAATAGTACACCTCAATGGCTTGTATCTATGTTTATAGCGAGTAAAAAGCTTGAAAAGAGCATTCTCATGTCTCAATGATTGGCTGGTACCATTGAAATACGTTATCAGGATCATATCTTTGCTTGAGGAGTCGGAGTTTTTCAAGTCTCCACGGCGTATAGCCGTATAATGCCTCGAGCGGATCTTTCATAGTCGACGTGGTGTTACCATAACTCACGTACTGTTGCAAACGACCATAGCCAGACGTTGCTATGAACCGTTGTTTCCAGTAGTCAATATGACCCTCGAAGAATCTTCGGTCCTCCAACCGCTTAGGTGTAGCATTTATCATACTGTTTGTCTTGTGTTAATATTCACTCCACAAAAAGTCATTAGAGTTGACTCACAGGAAATGATTTGATCCTCCACGCCATGGGAACGCTGTTGCATCTTCAGGTATCTCACGCACACGATGGTCGGGAAGACATTCAAACATGGCGCTGAACCAGCCGCGGCCCTCCCATTCTTCACTCATAGCCTTGACGCTCTCGAAAAACTCACGCGTAGTCTGAATATCAAACCTTTCGACGCAAGCGGCGCCCATCATCTTGTAAGGAGCTTTGCTCCAGATCTCAGGCTTGCAGTAAAGCTTGTTCATCTCTTTGTATGTGGTGTACGGCAGCTCCGGCCATGGCACCGACTTCCGTCCAGTACTCAGGACTGGACCTAGAGAGTCGAAGCGCTCTACAAAGGGCTGAGCACCCACAGCTGGACCAGACCAGACCAGATTGATTAGAATTACATGCTGGAAAAGATTAGCAAGTAGGAATCTTGTGTATGGGGAAGAAGAATACCTTTCGTCCGCCGCTCTCGCGAATCCATAAAACAAAGATTGCCAGATTAGCTGGCATGGATTCATGTACACTATTCAGGGTATTGAAAACCTCGTCACACTGATTCAACGTGTATTCGAAGTCCCAGGTATGATGGATGCCTCCATGTGCCTGCGGATAAACCTGGAACGTGGCTTCCAGTGCGATGCCAAAGTTGTGACCTGCTCCGCGAATGCCCCAGAACAGATCACAATGTGAGTCTGCGGAAGCAATCACTACGCTTCCGTTCGCGAGGACGAGTTTGCAAGAAACCATATTATCGTGCAAAAAGCCGTACTTGCCTTATAAACGTCCCAAGCCTGCGCCAAATGCCACTCCAATGACACCAGTCGTAGGGCACGATCCTACGTCTTCATATTCGGTGAGACATTTCTCTGGGGTAAGGGATTGATGACTTACTAACTTCCATGCCCGTGTCGTGCACAAAGCGCACAAACTCATCCGTTATCACCCCACCGCCAGCGGTCACCTGTTGTTTTTCGGGGTTCCATCGCAATTGGTTGAGTGGGCGCATGTTGATGCAAATTCCATTTTGGAAGCGTCTCATGGTGCTTGTGACAGCATGGTGGCCGCCACGGGGCGTGAATGGAATGCCCCTTTTGCGCGCATACTTGACGACCTCGACTACGTCCTGCTCGCAGGCTGGGTCGACGACAGCAAGGTACGTTGGTCGCTCATACTGTGTGAAGCGCAGATTGGCATTATCAAAGTCTGTTCTGTCTGGATCGAATGGCAGGTGGATTCGCGCCTTGCTCGACAACTTCTCCTGAAGCTCGACACGAATGCTCTCGGCCAATGATGGAAGGGCATCGACGTCATGTTGGGAGCTCATTTTCGATGTGATAGCTTCGGCTCTCAATGAATCCAGCAACCGGCAGTCAAACGGATACGGAGCCAGCGCATGCGTGATTTATGATTATATGGCCACTAGGGCAAAGAAATAGCCGAGAGCACCGGCCATGGGGGGCGATTGGTGAAGGAATCATAGGTAGAGGAACTAGGGCCGACTGGACTATTCGATGACGGGCGCATTGGTATCGTGCGGCGGTGGGTGAAGGCATATCAAGGGGCAAAGGCACTGCTTGCGAGTGATTTCGCAAGAGAAGCCCCCTGGGTTGGAGTCGATGCAGGACAATGGCACGTGCATTGCGCTTTGCTGCATCGAGTATCGCCCGTTTTTTTTCATGCAGGTCATCGGACGAATCCGCTGTTTCCCCGCAACGTGGACCGGGGGCGCCCGTCTGATTGGCTGCCTGGTTTAAGCACTTTCAAGCTTCTGGCCCCACACATGCACATGCACGTGCACATGTATCGTCGTGTCGTCGGAGAATAAGTGCTCTTACGCGAACCCATGTCTGCAGCTGTGACCGTTCACATCGGCCCGACGCGCACAGTAGGGCCGCATTGCTTTCCTCAAACACCCACATGTACCTATCGGAGAATCCGAAATGTTGACTTATCTATACATGCTCCATGCGCGTGCCAAACCAAACCATCTGACTGGCTGTTGTCGCTATATACCGACTACCTACATCAGACTGCGGGTGCAGGGCCCGAAAACAGTAGGCATAATGCCCCTCCTGCTCAAAGGCCCGCCCTTTTCGAACACGTCTCGGCCCAGTCCGCTCTCACTTACAGCTTTCCTTGGAGTCCTTGCCTGAGCACAGTCGAGCTGTCAGTTCACTGGACTTGGTACACCAAAATCAGCATGCACAACACATTTATACGTGATGCTTTTGGCTATCAGCTTGGCCAAGTGCCGCAGTTGGCATTTCACAACATCATCAGTGCTTCTCTGGCCCTCGTAAGTTGGCACTAGCCCTGAGTTCCCAAGTGTCGGAAACATCTCACAACCCTCTTCAGCTTCTCCTTTATGTGTTCTATAAGGTGCTGTACAATCTCTACCTGAGCCCCCTGGCTGGTTATCCAGGCCCTAGGCTCTGGGCTATCTCTCGTCTACCATGGAATCGTTACAACATGAAGGGTCGTATCAGCTGGAAGATCCGCGAACTTCACGATAAATAAGGACCCGTCGTTCGCATTGCCCCTGATGAACTTTCATATACCACGTCCGGCGCATGGAAAAAGATTTACGGACAACGCGATCCGGAATTTGTAAAGGCTCTTGACGGCAGAGGCATTGCGCCCCCAAGCATCGGTGGCCAACGCAGTTTGATGACAGAACATCAGGATAGACACTTGAGATTGAGAAGGGCTATCGATCCAGCTTTTAGCCAGAGGGCACTGTGAGTTCCATGATATGCACGCCTTACTCCCTCCCGCCAACCCTTGTCCACTAACGATTCAAACTCTCCTAGGCGCGATCAGGAGAAATATTTTCAAGACCACTCAGACAATCTTATTCAAAAGTTAATGAGCCAGTACAGACATGGACCGGTCGACATGACCACATGGTACAACCTCGTTGCGTTCGATATCGTATCCGATTTGGCTTTCGGTGAGCCCTCAGGTTGTGTTGACAATCCCGATCAGCCATGGATACAAGCCATTCTAGCCCGCGCTAAAGCCATCGTATGGTTTCAGCTTGCTGTGCAGTACGGTTTTTTGAATCTGCTCAACTGGTTGACTCCGAGATATGTCGTCGAGTCGAGAAAGAAGCACATTGCTATGACTGAGGCCAAGTTGAAGGCTCGCATCGAAGCTAAAAATCCCGGAAAGGACTTCATGTAAGACGAATGAAATGAATTTGTTGCTACAAAAGCTGTTATATCAGCGCCTAACTCCAAATCCTAACAGGTCATACATCCTGGAGAACGACGAAAAGCTCAACCACCTCGAACTGATGATGCTTTCTTCCAACTTCATCGTGGCTGGTAGTGGCACATCTGCAGGCGGCATGTCTGGCCTGACATATCTGCTGCTGCGTAATCCGGATAAGCTTGCAAAGCTCAAGCAAGAGATATGAACTTCATTCAAACGCCGCACAGACATGACAATGCAGGCGGTGACGGGCTGTAAGTATCTCCGCGCCTGCATCAACGAGGGTATGCGCCTCTATCCGCCAACCCCAGGGTCACTTCCACGCGTGGTGCCTGGAAAAGGCGAAATGATTGAGGGCAGGTGGGTTCCCGGCGGTTATGCTGTCGGCGTCAATCAACTTGCAGCAGGCCATTCAGAGCGCAACTTCAGGCGTGCACGCGAGTTTTACCCAGAACGTTGGCTGGATGAACCCGACTCGGAGTTCAAAGATGATGACCGGTCTGCTGTCCAACCTTTTTCTTATGGTCAGAGATCTTGTATTGGACGATCGTAAGTTGAAAACGCGCGATTGATGAAAACCTGGAGCCATACGCTAACTATAATGCGTGCACAGTACGGCTTACGCGGAGATGTCGCTGACCATGGCGGTATGATCTCTCTCCGCTCTCTTTTTTACATTGGAATAAGTGCTAATAGTTGATTGCAGAAGTTTATTCCTTACTTTGACTGGGAGTTGAACGATCCAGGTAGTGATTGGTGGGGCAAGCAAGGAACCTATTTGGTATGGGAAAAGCTGCCTTTGCTAATGAAATTGACTCCCGTGACTGGTTTAGATGATTGAGCCTTTTATAGTAGCGCGGTTCAAATATATTCTGAAAGTAGATCTTTCTCAAGTGTTTTCATGCAGACAACAGGCTGTTATATGTGTAGCTGCGAAGAAATCAACGTAATAGCAGTATACCTTGGGAAAACCGAATCATGTTGATTCCTCTGGCGTTAGAAGGTTACCTCATAGAGTAGAGGTCCAGGACCGAAAATTTGGGCAGTACCAATCCCTTGTCTAGTTTTGTGCACGTGTAATCCAGGTGCTGTCTCTGAATGAATAATAGCTCACGTTCATATTTAAAGCTGACAACGGCCGCGCATTCGGCCTTTGCAACCTCAAATTCAAGCAGCACCAACACAGCTGTATTCGAGATGCAAGTGAAACACCTTGTTCTAGCAGGCGCCTCGCTGCTACTCATTCGCGTTATCAATACATTCATCATCAAGCCGCTGCGATATCGTCTCAAAAGCCGTCGACTTGGATGTGGTTTTGTACCTATTGAACCGACCCGATGGCCGCTTGGCATTGACAGCGTACGACGTGCCTTAAAAGCCGATAAGGAACAACGGACACCTGATTTTGTGGCTGCGCGCTTTGAAGCTACGGGCCGCCATACGTGGGGGCTGTCCCTATTGGGTACATTCAACATTATCACGGCTGATCCGCGTAACGTGCAGGCAATACTCGCGACGCAGTTCGAAGACTTTATTATGGGAACGGCGAGGAGAACAAACTTGAAGACGGCTCTGGGGCGCAGTATCTTCGCTGTGGATGGCAAGGCGTGGCAGCGCGCCCGGGAAACGATGCGACCCATCTTCAGCAGGGAAAACATTTCCCGCCTTGAGCTGCTCGAAGAACATGTACAGACTATGCTCAAAATCATTGAGACGAAAGAACATGGATTAGCGGGTGATGACGAAGGCCGAGTATGGTCGGAACCCGTGAGCTTAGCTGCACTGCTACCGCGTCTAACTATGGATTCTGCAACTGAACTCTTCCTCGGGCACAGTACGCATTCTCTCGAGGCTCTACTGTCAAAAGAAAGGCAGGGAAGTCACAGGATCCATGACGGGGATGACAGCTTCGGCCACGCTTTCGAGCGTATGTTGGCCATCTTAGGAGTAAGAATGCGACTGCGGGGCCTCTATTGGCTTTATGGAGACAAGGAACTGAACAGATGCATAAAAACACTCCATGACTTTGTCGACAGCGCCATTGACGCCGCTGATCAGGCACGAAACCAAGGCTTGTCACAGCTTCGCTACGACTTCCTCGAGTCACTACGTTCCCGTTGTTCCGACCGAGCAGAGGTACGCGAGCAAGTACTAGGTCTTCTTGCGGCTGGTAGAGACACGACTGCATCACTTACAGCCTGGGTATTCTACTGCCTAGTAAGGAGTCCACGGGTATGCAAAAAGCTTCGGGAGACTATACTCGCCACCTTTGGCCCCTACTCGAGCACTGTTGAGCGAAAAATAACATTTGAGAAGCTCAAGAGCTGCTCATACCTGCAGCATGTCATGAGCGAGACACTGCGGCTTCACTCAGTTGTGCCTTTTAATTCTCGTTGCACTGTACGGGATACGACACTTCCCACTGGCGGCGGACCTGACGGCACTCTGCCAGTTTTCGTGCCCAAGGGAACAGAGGTCAACTTCAGCACGCATGTGTTGCATCGACGGAAGGATTTGTGGGGTGAGGACGCTGATGAATTTGTGCCTGAGCGGTGGGAAAAGAAGCGACCAGGGACTACTTGGCAATACATTCCCTTCAATGGTGGGCCACGCATTTGCATTGGGCAGCAGTTTGCACTGACAGAGGCTGGATATGTATTGGTGCGCATGATGCAGAGATATGATTTGATAGAAGGACTGGATGTTGACTTGGAGCGCGACTGGCACAACTTTACAATTGTGTGTAGCCCCGGAAGTCCAGCGGCGAGAGAGGCTGCAGTTATGTGTCGGCTGAGATTAGCTATTGAGTAGGTACTCTAGCTGACTACTGACTGTGCTGCATATTTCCCACCAAGTTGGTACGTGCAAATTCTGTTACCACATATTTGGTCTCGATATAGAACACCCTCTGTTGAAAAGTAGAATGTACTACGCTTTTTTTTCGCTAATTGACTCCTGAAACGACTACTTGCTCTGCTCTGCAAGCGGTTCATGGCACATCATGTGCCCCATCTAATTGAATACTCATCAGACTTACGATGCCAGCTGAGAGTACTGTACCAACGCCGTAATTGGTACGATTTGCGTCATTTTGATGTGTCCTGTCTTGTACTGGCCGATGAAAACGAGATTTAGTCTGGGTGATATTATGTGTCAGCCTCCTGTGTTGCGGGAGATGGCGTAGGATAGGGTCTGCACATACAACAGGGGGCGCGGGATTTCTCTTTGATCAAGTCCGTATTTGCCTGATTCACAATGGAAGTCAAAAGCTAGCGTCTCGCTGCGCATTACCGGGGCCCTGGCCTTGGAGTCTGGAGGGCCTGCAGGGTTGGAGGTTGATAGGGTCCGGGCTATCTTCGCCAAGTGCCGTTATCACGTGCTACTTACTATGATCGACACAAGGGGCGCTGGCTCTGGAGGGCGTAGAGCACCTTGACCTGACACGTGCATTCCACCATGTTTCCATTGGCTCAATTCACCGACGGAGAAGCTTTCTCCTCAGCCAAATAAACTCTGCTCCACGCGCGTCAAACCATATGCCGGGCTTTCGGTAGGCGACCTAAGACAGCCAAGCTCATGGCTAGTGTACAGTCTGCTATGTCTCCTTCTTCGTATAGATTAGCGCATTCAGGCGTTGCTCTCGCCTTTCCTCTTCGAAGGTCGTTGCTATCTTATTATCCCCCGAGACAACCTCACGCAATGAGCGGCATAGGGTCTATGTGCCCCACAATGACCATACTTAGTGGTTCGTAACTCAGTTGATGAGCTTTTGTAAGCATCTCGCCCTTGCTTACGTACGTACGCCAGGAATATGAGAGGCTATCCTCGACCGATCGAGAAGGTGCGCATCAAGGAGAAACGCAATGCAAGTTGTCAGCAATAAGCAAAGTGCTCCGCGAGAAACGATGGGATCGTGATAACCGCCGCGATTACCCCGAGTAAGCTGTCGAATTGAGAAGCCAGCAAGACTAGCTTTGGCCCAGACCACGAGTCATGATGCAGTTCAATGTGGGCAGTGGAGTTGGCTACAAAAGTTCCCTTGTCCGAAACCATTACTAGAGCGGAGACGAATCGATCATTGATCATATGCTCCAGGGCCTTGTTCAGCTTTATGGTCCACTCGCGGGGACATTAAACTCGGTCCGAAATGCAACACGTCACGTATGCTGAGAATGGAGTCTGCACATCAGGTAGCAGAGCCGATAGATCTAGCCTTGACTACCAATGCTTCAAGCACGTGCTCTATGTCTTGGAAGATGTCTTGCTGAGAGATACCTTTCATAGTTTGAAACGATAGGAGAAGACCAGTGTTGGCTTTCTCAGCCAATGTGTGGGTAGTTGAAGTAGCCTCCGTTCTTGCTCCATCTTAATGCATATGCTTTCTTTATCTCTCTCTGTGACCGTAGAACGTCAGTCTGAGCCATGGCGACACCAATTCCCAGTGCTGACCGCCCTAAGCGAGAACTGAAGGTGCTCTCTCTTGGAATGACACGCACTGGTAAGTGTTTCTGAATCTTTACTCAACTGCCATGTCTTGTCAACACAAAGAGCTAACAAGAGCTTGTGTACAAAATAGGATCGGCATCAATCACTCAAGCTCTCCAGATACTGGGATACCAAGGCGTACACCATGGTATTCAAGCCATCAGTTCGCCCCTTGAGTGGCGTCTTTTCAACAAAGCCTGCGATTCCTTCTACCCTACCCTGCCAACATACACAGGCGGGCCCTTTACACGCGCAGACTGGGACACCCTATTCGGGCCTTACGAAGCCATCACCGACATGGGCTCCTTCTTCGCCATGCAGCTCATCGAGGCATACCCTGACGCCAAGGTGATCTTGGTGGAGCGCGATATAGATGAGTGGTATGCGAGTATGGAGGAGGCAATCTTTGGCACAACGTGGGGACTGCGTGCGGATTTAGTGATTAATGTACTAGGGCCGCTGTACGGGCTTAATGGTGGCAAGACGATTCGCAAAATTATGCTAGGGTATTATGGTGTGCGAGATGTAAAGGAGATGCGGCGGGTCGCCAAGGACAGGTACCGGCAACACTATGCACAGATCCGTTCTGCAGTGCCCAAGGAGCGCTTGCTCGAATTCCGTTTGGAAGATGGCTGGAAGCCGTTGTGTAAGTTTCTAGACAAAGAGGTGCCAGATGTCCCATTTCCCGTAAAGAACAAGAGAGGAGAACATGTCCAGCGGGTGCGCCAGAAGCAGAACATGTTCTTCAGGCATGTTGCGGCGAGTTTTGCGAAGAAAGCGATACTCTGCGCTATGGGCGCTGGCGCCGTGGGCCTCATTGCATGGAGCAGTAGATCAAGTGCGCAATGGATAGTGACATTGGAAACTCTTAAGAAGACTTTGGTTAAGTATTAGTAATGTACCGAAATGTTCTGCTTCTAATATGGTATCACAATCCGTTGAAAACAGGTTCATGGGAATAGGACATGAGGAGTGAGTGAGGATGATAGCAGTGTTGATCAGATTGTAAGATTATGAGACTGCCATTTTCTCTCGTTTGTATGGTTCTTTGACTTGATAAAGAATTCATGAGTGGATTCTCCTTCATTCGTATGTTTGTGAGAGATTATTCTAATCTGATTCTGCAGATGGGGTGCTGCATTAAAGCTTGATAGCTATGTTAAGATATCTCAATTGTTACCCGCGTGTGCTCACATCAAGTTTTAATCAGCATTTTGACCATGACCCAACACACTCTTTGGCCTTTTTGCACATGGGAATCTGTTGCGACGATGCAACAGTCTCATGTGCATGTCTACAGACATGTCGTGACAGCATCCACTTGATATTTAGGGATCATGGTTTTGATCAATGAAGTCTATACCACAGAATGCTGCATAGAGCAATACTAATCAGTAATGCTTTGAAAGAACTTGAAATAAATATATCGATTGTCTGGCGTAATACACTCACAAAGAATCTTTAGGTTCTTAAAGTAAGCTTTAGTCGATGCGAGCGGTGTCATCGTGATTCATTACGACCCGTCAACTGGAAACATGCCGATTCAGATCACCCGCCATTTTTACATGGGAAGAACACTCTCTCGCTTCTAAAGCAAAAACTCCCCATTGTGAATTCGGCACAGATAACCGACAAGTGGACCCCAAAGATCGCCTTCACCTGAAGGTCTTTTCACCCCTCATCGATAACTAAAAACATCGATTTTCAAGGACACATTAGCAGCACTCGGCAATGACTTGTAGTAAATTTATCTAGCCCCCAATTTTAACAGAACAAATTCGCGAAGAAACCAAGAACATGCCAGTCCCGCTACATTCGGTAACGAAATTTTCTGTTTGAAAAATCCGTAGCATCCTCAATGGCTTCCGGCTCCCTTTCAGTCTGATCTTGAACAGGTTGTTGTCCTTCAGCTTCTTCACGATCGCGACGAGCATTTCGCCGCGCAAGCAGGGCGCGTATCACAAAAGACAGGACGAATTGCGCGACAGAGCAGCCCAGTATGGTTTTGACTCCTGTCTCGTACACGGGGGCTTCTTTTGCGAGGAACGCTTGAGGTCCTGTAGTTTCCTGCATCAGCGACTGCATTTCTTCGGGTCATAGATCCGGGTTCAGACGTACCAATGATGTTGCCAATGCAGTATGCCAGAAATACAAAGGCGGTGCTAGTCGTGCGCTTCGTGTATCCGGCTACATTGGATGCTGGGAATTGCAGCGCGATAACCAGCCCGCCCACGTACGAGCCAATCTTTACCAGTCAGTAAGACGAGCTGAATACAATTAGGAAGGCCAAGCTCACCATATAGTAACCCGCCAGGCATCCAGCCAAATTCGTTCGTGGCAGCTGCCAAATCAGAGTGGTGCCGATGATTGTGGGACAGATATACAACGCCATGATGTAAGTGCGCGCATTTGGAAGGCGAGAAGCAAGATATGGCCCCGTAAAGACCCAAAATACCTGAGCGACGCCCTGCGGAATGCCGTAAAGTGTCGTACGAAGCGGGTCGCCGCCAGCTACATTCTTTATAATCAGTTTTCCAAAGTTGGCGATTCCGCCATTGATGGTCTCGTTGAGCAGAACATATAAGAATAGCAACCAAATCTGCGCATCTGTCAAGGCTTCCTTGATCTGCTCCAACTTGATGGTGCGGTTGTAAACACCCGTGCGATTCTTTGCGGCGCGGGCAATCAAGAGAGCTTTTTCCTCTACGGAGAAGCTCTTCGCCGACATGATGTTATTGGGGAGTTTGAGGAATAACACCAAGGACCAGAGAACGGTCATGCCGCCGCAAATAATGTAGATGATCTTCCAGATGACAAAGTGCTTTGCGTAGCCGACGCCGTAGAAGAGTATCCCGCCAGTGGCACTGCCGATGCCGTTGAAGCAATAGAACATGCCTGCCCGCGCGGGCTGCTGCTCCGCCATGTACCACATACCCACAATCTGCAGATGAAGGGAAAAACATAGAGTCAGTCTATATCCAGTGTGAGTATTCGTATGGTTGAGAACTTACCATCATAAACGCTGGCGTGATAACAGACTCAAAGATACCAAGCAAGAATCTCATAGCCGCAAAGCCTGCAAAGCTGTTTGTAGCAGCGGCAATCAGCATGACGGAGCCCCAGCAAAAGCAGTATATCGACACGACGCGCGCAGTCGGAAAGTGCTGTGCAAGGTATGCGGACGGCCACTCAGCGACCAAGTACGCGAAATAGAAAATGGATCCAAGCCATGAGTACTGCTCGCCCGTGATACCGGTTGTTTCGAAGAGATCGAACACGGCTGCATAGCTGGTTGCCTGCTTGTCGATGTACTGGAAGAAGAACGTGCCGCATAAGAGGGGAAGAAGACGCAAATCGACTTTTCGCGATACGCGCTTGTTGGCCTCTGCGTCTTCCAACAGCTTAGCGATGTATTCGGGTGTGATGTTGTGCTCTCTCAGGTATACAGTGGCTTCGTCGAGATCCTCGACTTGGCCTTCGATGGCGCTCTCGTGCTTCTTGAGGGAGTTGGCATCGAGAGTGTTTAGTTGGACCTCGACGTCCTTGGCCGTAGTGACCGTCTTTTTGTCGGTGCTGTCGGGTAAATCGGTCGGAGACTGCATCGCGGAAAACACCCAATGAATCCAAGGGTGCGATGAACAAAAAGGCTCTAAGAGACAGACATGGAGTACGCTGAAGGCTGGATTTGACTCTTCGTATAAGCTTCTAGCCGTACTCGACTAAGTAATCTGCATTCAAGAGTTGGATTGGCGAAGAACCAAGGCAAATGGCGATGATAAGCAAAAGTCGATAACAACTCACCACTCTTCAAGATACCTGCTGCTTGGACGATTATCAATCTACCTTCCTATCTGTTCTCAAAAAACGAGTCGGGCTTGCAGCGCACTGAACATATGACGCCAGATTGGGCCAACCGTTTGCGATAACATACTCGGCCTTGGGCCGGGGGGCTTTTTCAAACCAGGCATTTCATCCTTCGGAACAACTAGTTCCTGCTACCCCTCATTTAGCGGCTCAGTCTTTTTATCGCTGATGCTCCGCTTTCGGAGAGTGATTGCACCCAGTTTCCTGGGGATTGGCTGGGAATAGGGTTCGGATGTGCAGCATCCGATGATACTGATTCCAACCACTTGCAATGCCCAAACTAACATCTACATGATCCATGAATATAATGCATGAGCTGCCTTTCTAAGTGGTGTATCATGTGATTTCGTCATTCCAAAATTATAACGATTGCTATTGCTGAGAAATCTCGACTTTGGACCACCAGAAATCGCTTTCTTCCTTTGCGTATTCATCGTCAATCATCATGGCAAGTTCTCCAACTTCCTGACCGCCAATCAGCTCGGTGTTATCCCGCCCGAAAATCATAATTTCCGGTTTCTCCTTGTCATAGTTTTTCCACGCAGGTCTACTGCTATACGAACCACCCAAAGCGTTAGGGTTGCCTGTGCAAATAAAGCTTGTAGTGTAGGCATGCAGTATACCCGACAACTCATCTTGAGACTTTAGTTTTTCGCAGATTGCTCGATCCTTCATTTCATAGAACATGTTGTCTGAGTGGCGGGCTCCGTATACAATATCGCGTCTCATTGCCCAGTGATATACGTACACGGGCGTGTGCGGGCTGGCGAAGAAGGCGGTTTGGCGGACTGGTGCTACGTATGCGTAGTGTGCATATGCCGCTTCGATGCGCTTGTACATTGGACCAACACCGTGATCTAGCCTTGTTTCTCTGTAGATAGAATCCGGCACTTCGTCGGGATCGGGGTATAATCGGTTTATGGTCTGGATATCCTCATCGCTCAATTGTGGCAGTAGGGTTTTCCAAAACTGAAGGAATTCTGAGGACTTGGACATCTTCTTGTTGACATACAGGGATCCCTCGTTCCCTTGGAATCCAGTCATTATCGGAACCTTGTGCCATTTTCCGTTTCTCCAGGCATCGATTGGGCGGCCACGAATGGTCTCGTTGTCGATTACTGGCTGGAAAGCCCAACGCAAACTAGGATTGTACTTTTGAAACACCGTTGTTTGAGCCTTAGCAATCGTAGAAATAGGGATTTTGCTAAGGTAACTAAATATTTCTGATTCAGGCAATGATGGCGGACATTTTACTTCTTTCAAGAAGTCCTGGAATTGCTCTTCATGGATTTTTGCGTCTGGTTGACGCACAGCACGGGACGTTGGGGCGCCAGATTGTATGACAACCCGATGGAATTTTGGTGCTTTACCCTCCTCGTAATTAAGTAAAAGGTGACCAATCTACGCCAAATCAGCAAGCTAAAGCAACAAAGAGAACCCAGTACTACACCTACCGAGTGTGCACCGGCGGAAAGCCCTATGAGTGTGACGCAATCTTTGTCACCCCCAAAATGACCGATATTCTCCTCGACCCAGTCAAGTAGGCAAATCTGATCTTTCAGACCGAGGTTGAGGGCGCCTTCTTTGGCGCTTAATCTTGATGGGAGGAAGCCCAGCGCCCCAATGCGATATCCAAACGAAACCGCAATGAATGGCTGCTCGGACCATCCCACCATGGCTGCTGTATCATGCATAGCAGCATTCCCACGGTTGAAAGCGCCTGCGTGAAAGTACACAGCAACGGGTAGCGGTTTCGACTGATCATGTCCCGCCTGTCGGAACACATTTGCAGTCAGACAGTCTTCGCTTTCCTCTAGCTTTGGTCCAATCGTCATGAGCTGCTGTGCTGGAGCCCTGGGACCGAATTTCGTCGCATTCATGGTGTCCTGGCTCTTTCCTACTTTTTCTGGTGGGCGGAACCGGCGTTCACCTGTTGGCGGTAACGCATAGGGAATGCCCTTGAAGAATTCCACTGCATGAGGATACTTTTCCCGTGAGACGGCGCCTACGACCGTTCCCTGCGGAAGCTGCACTCTAGGCGAGGACATTGGAGTTACACCTTGGGCAATTGCTAAAGTCGCGTCAGTCCTGTGGCGCAATAAGTGGTGGGACTTGGGGGTTCCGGTGGTGTACCTTGAAAGGCTGAGCAAAGTTGGTAAGTAAGCGGCTCATAGCAGCACCAATACACGCAATGCGCTCTTCGGATTACACCAGCAGCCGCTCTTTGAAACCGGCGGTACAAGAAATGCCGAAGCCCTTGTCAACTTGCTGTGTTGTTATCTGCCATTGACTAGCCCCGCCAGATGCCCCACTTCCCCTCCTATCTTTGCTCCTTCTCTCTCCTGAAGTCGCTATGATATGCACAGAAACCTCGGCCGTAGATTTACCGGCAGTCTCCGTCTTCGGATCTATGCATCCAGCTCAAAACAGCATCATACTCGGTTGAGACCCGCATATGATAAGGCGTCTAGCGGACGGCCAAGCCTCTGCCATGGCGGCAATACAATGGGGCTGCCAAACCTAAGTATCAGGTGAGCCGATGTATTGATATGCAAGAGTAGAATGGGGTATCTCAATTACCAAGGGTAGGGAGAAGGCTGAAATTCATAGTTCATCAATACAGCTTTGGAAAAATCGGCGTACGCTCACAACAAGGACTTCAATTCGGGGAAAGAAAAGTCACACCAAAATGCTTCATAAAACACACTGACATGGCTGAATATTGATGTCGCAAGATCTATCTACCAGATGGACCTGTACATGGGAAATAATGACTATCTTCACTCCACGCCAAATACGCTGCATTCTACAGTTTGATTTTCACACACTCTCTCCCACACTCCCCTGCAAGCTCACCATCTTATTCTTTAACCTCCCCTTTCCCACTCTCCCTCTTACTTTTACTCTTCTTCCCCTCGGCGCCGTGAACCGTCTTAACATGCTCCCTCATCTTATCTCTCCTCCCCTTGAAACTGCGGCCCTTCCTTCCATTGATAGGGCACCTAGACCGAGAACATCCCTTCTCGGGGCAAAAGTACTCGGTCATTCTTCGCGCATGCATGTTGACGTGGTGGCGCTTAAAATCAGCATGGCGGTTGAACAATAGCGCTTCATCATCTCTGCACAGCTTATCAAGGCACTTGAACTTTCCGCCCAAGGTTACTTGGCCGATAATGAGGTCGTCGCTGGTGGATGGTGTAGCAGTCGTTATGTGTACATGTGTGGATGACGGCGAGTGAGTGGTTGCTGGTGAGGTGGTGGGAGAGTGGTGTATCGAGGGCGAAATGGTCTTGCTATAGGAATACGAGGACGGTTGACTATAAATTAGTTAGTTAATCTGCGGATACAAGGGTACATATTTCCACATACGCTGGATGTTCACAGATCGAGGGCCGAATCAGAGACTCAGTTGATAGAGGTGACGTTTGCGAGAACGGCGAGAGGAAGCTCATATTTCTATTTAAATCTTGTCAGAATAGACTTGGGTAGAATATTGACCAAAACTTGAATAGACTCCAGAATGCCTCCTCAGGGATTGCCGGGCCAAAATATCGGTTTCCATTTCGGGACGTCGAAATCGTGTGCAAAATACCCTTCTCTTGGTAGAGGGAAGCTATTGTTGCAACCGTACGGAGTCCTAAACGAACAACTTCACGGTTGGTTGTCCAGATCATGGCCTGCTTCTCAAGTACAACAATCCTAGTTGCAGGGATGCTGTTGCAGTGACGCTCAACTGTTACCGTAAAGGCTGCCTTCGACTCTTGGAAAGTGGCGTTCTTTTCGAAGATTTTAGACCCTGAAAATGGCAGAGACCTTGGAGCATTCGAACTATACTCGTCCAGACTTCGACTGCACAGCATCTGTTTGACGGCTGGCTATCTGACCCGTAATGATATGTGGGTAACTGGAGCCATGGCACAATAATAATTGAAGAAACTCTGTCTTTAAGTGATGACGGCTGACAACTTTGTGTGAACCTCGACAACAGTATGCGTTCCACCTCGATTGGGATAGAAACCAAGGATCAAATGAGAAAACTTGAAGATTGAGCAACCACTCCTTCAGGTAGGATTGAAAGAATTGGAAATCGAGGTGGTTTACTCGGTCTTATTGTTAGACGCAGAAGAGATGGGCGAATGCGCAAACGTTTGGTAATTCTTATCGCAATCCAGGTAACAAACGGGTCTCCTGAATTTGAATGTCTCGCAAAACCAAAATCTGGTGATGCTTTTCCGGATTGCATGGCCTGGTCCAGGCAGTTGTAATGGCTTCAGAACAATCTGACATGCTGACGGAGGCCAAGCCCAGTATTTGCTCAAAGCTGCAGTTCTAGTCCAGTATGTCTGTGCAGGATGGAAGTTCTCCAAGGTCCAGCCCTGTGGTCAAAAGTGGAGAATATAGAGTAACTCCAAGGAGAGACTATGGGTAATGATTTTGTGATAGAGTACTGTGGAAAAATAACTTACTCGTTAATCTGTGTCATGAGATGCAGAGATGGTGCTCCGCCTTCGTCCCTGTCTACCCTCCCATCACCTATAAAATCCACCATGTCAGAATGGTACACGTTCGTTGCGCACGCTGCAGTCGGTTCGTACAAGGTATTAGATGGGGCATTCAATAGCCGACTATGATACCAGTTCGCAGATGACAGAGGCAATTGCTGTGCAAAAGATTGAGACACGGTGTCCAGGGTCTGTGACATGCCCGAGTACGAGCGTGACATGTTCAACCCATTATAAGGCAGTCCGAAGTCGGTTGAATCATGCGACGCTCGATGCATATCGTGGCGATGTGGGCGTTGACAGGAGGATGCGGACGAATATTGCGATGTTGACCGAGCCATGCAGTTGTCCATGGGGATTGAGATATGGGCACTGGATGTACAGAGACAAGGCTGCGATTCAGCCTGGTGCGTCGAGCTCGAGGGCCTCCTATGGGCCGAAGATGAGCACGACACCAAAGAATCGTGCCTTTGGTGTGTCGACGTCGAAGTGCTTTGCGGAAAGATGAACTCTTCCATAGGAGGAGGATTAGATTTCGAATCTGTTAGGTTTGGAAGGGTTTGACCGTTGGGGGAGTGATGCCTGACGTCCCCAACTAGATAGAGAGAGTCGGCCATTGGCAGGAGTTGGAGCTGACGGGTAGCTCAAGAATAGACCGTGAAAATCAGGTAACTAAACGAGCAGTCTTCTTCCTACCGGGCTCGGTTGGAGTTTAAAATGAGGCGAAAGAGAGGACGACATGACTGCAAAATGTGGCAGGAGGACTCTCGCTTAGCTTGCATCTGTTTTCAGCCTTAAGGTGGCTGTGAGACCAGGAGGCGTACCGGAAATCTGGGAGTAAAACAAGGCAAACAGGGCTGAGTTTCGAAAGTTGATGGAAAATGTTAGATTTTGCATGTGATGTGTGATTGGAATAGAATACTCGCATGTCGTGTCGGCGGTGCTGCCTGTTTGCTCCTATCAGAGGAACACAACAAGGACACTCGACGCCACCATACACACCTGACTCGCCTCATTCTGAAAAAGTCCTCCAAAAGGATACTTGGCTCGCTCTGGACGCTTTCATCTAAAACATGCTCAATCATCGACGGCCTCTTGTCCGACTGCCCGATTCTTTGGCTGGCTGAATGGCACAGCTATGCTTTCACGGTCCATATTTTGATGCTTGCATCTCCACCTGCCGAGATGACCTTTGCTGCCTTCTCCCATGCAACGCCGTTCACTCCATCCTTGTGGGCATTGAGGGCCTTGATGCGCTTTCCGGGGTCCTCGGTACTCCAGACCATGACGTTTGTATCAAGACTGCCGCTTGCAGCGTAGTTCTCGCTCTCATCCCAAGCCAAGCAGGTAATGCGTGCAGTGTGCGCACTCCACCTGTCGGTGATGATCTTCCATTCTCCGCCTGTCTCGTACGCGTAAATCTTGCCGTTGGCCGCACCAAACGCAAGCTTCTTACCCGAGGGTGAGAAGGCGAGCGCGGAGATTGGTGCCGTTGCACGGCGCAACACGGTTTCGGTGTCCTTGAGCTCGGTGCCTGACAGCGTGTAGATGTGGACAAGCTTGTCATCCCCACCAACAGCCACCATAGAGTCATGTGCAGCAATCGATGTAGGTGTGTACTTGACGGCTAGCGAGCTTACCTGGGCCCCATTGGAGTAGACTGATATCGCATCAGACGAGGGAATCAGCACAGTGCTGGATGTAGCCGCCACGCCCTTTGGCTGGAATTTGAGGTCAAGCGCTTCGCCCGTGAAGATCTTGTCCGGAACCGAGATGGAGCGCAATGTGTCGTCCCAGCCGACGCTGTAGAGCTCCTTCCCGCTGCTGCTGTCCGATGTGGTGATGCCAGCGACATAACTGGTATGGGCGGCGCCCTCGACCTTGTCAGCCAGGCCTGTTGTGGTGTCCCATGCGAGAACGCGTCCCTCGTAGCTGCCCGTGGCAAAGGTTGAGCCTGCAATGGCAGCTGACGTGATGTTCTTTTGGTGGCCGCGAATCACGCGCGTTGGCTTGGGACTGCCGTCGACGAGGTAGTTTAGGTTTCCGTCGAGGTCGACGCTTACGATCAATCCGTCGCTGCGGCCCGTGGGCCAGACAACGCCAACCTGCTGGTCGGGCACGCTCACGACGCCCTCTTCGCCCATTCGCCACGTCTGGATGGCCTTGCCGGCCTCGGGGTCCCAGATGCGAACCGTCTGGTCGGCGCTGGCTGTGACGAAGCGGTTGGAGTCCTTGGACCACGAAACGCCAAAGATGCTGCCCGTGTGGACGCCCTCGCCAATCTGGGCCTTTGGCTCGCCAGTCTTGCCATCGAACAGCCAGATGCGCTTGTCTGCACCGACACTGGCGAAGACGGAGCCGTCTGGGGCAAAGGCGGTGCCGAAGACGAAGCGGTTGTGCTGGCCGCGCAGGCTGGTGTTGAACTTGAAGGGGGCGCCGTGGTAGAAGACGAGGCTGGTGTCGTCGGAGCCCGTGGCGGCGCGGAGGGGCCGTTGCTGGCGGATGGAGACGCAGTTGATCTGCGAAGAGTGGCCCGAGATCTCGCCCACGCTGTTGCCGCTGTCGGCCGTGATGCAGTGGCCGAAACGCTCCTTGCCATCGCCTACGGCAATGATGCGCTGCGAGTCGCCGTCCCACGCGAGGTCGTTGATTCGGCCGGCAATGATTGGGTATTCGCCTGTGGTAGTGGTCGTGATTGTCAGCGCACATGTGTGGTGAGGATGGAATGCATGCACCACGCACCTTTTGTCGCGCCCTCGCCGGCACAGTCCCAGACCCTGACCATGCCCGAGACATCGCCGCTGGCTACGTAGAAGCCAGAGGGCGAGAAGCGGGCGACGGTGGTCTGGGTCGTGTGCTGCGTGTACTGTTTACTGACGGCGGGATCGTCGATGGAGCGGAGAAAGACGGATTTGCCAGACTACAGGCGCTCAATTAGCTCAGCAGCGCGTGCTTGACCAGGAGCAGGGCACGACATGCCGCATAGGCGATGCGCTCGCCCTTGGGGTCCGACGACAGCGGCGTGGCCTGTCCTCTGGTGGTAGTCGGCGATGCTGCCCAGATGGCATCTGTCGTGGCTTAGCTGGTGCTGCATGTAGGCATTTGCATGTGAAGCTTGGATGCGTGCAGCGTACCTGAGACGAGCGACATGGTGGTGCAGAGGCAAAAGCAACTGTGTCCGAGCAGAGACTGGCGGCGGGTGAATTGATTGAGGGGATACAGGACAGGCCACGACAGGACTCGACCGGCCACGACAGACGTGGACGGGCTGCCTCGTCACCGCCTGCGTGTCGGCCGTTTCAAAGTGCTGGACAAGCCACGGGCGGCGGGGCAGGTGGGGGTGGCTGCACTGCACTGCACTGCCATTTGCCTGCCCATCGTGACAGTGACAGTGGCAGTGGCAGTGGCAGCATGCGCCCGAAAGCCGGCCCCTCCCTGGATGCATCGTCTTCTTCGTCTTCATATGCCGGCAGCAAAAGGGAGAGGCTGGTCGCAGGCGTAGGGGATGCATGCATTGCCATAGTAAGTAATGGACATGGAACTCTCCTTGGAACTTCCACACACTTCTTGGCGCACGTCATCCCCTTCTCCTCCCGCACACCTCAGCTTCCCTCTCGCGCCGTCATCCGCCTATGCCTGCATCCATTCATTTAATTAGCACCGCCATTCTTACTCTCGCTCTGCGGGTCGCCTCTATTCACTTACATCGCCCACCAATTCCTGTCGATCGCTTCTGTCGTGTCAAGTCGCGTCGTTCGCTGTCCAACATCGTCATCCGACAGCCTGGCAACCCGTAGCTAACCACCGCACTCACCGACTTCGCCCTATAAATCAACACCATTATTTTTTTTTAGAGAAAAACAACCAGCATGTGCCTATTCAAGACGTACGAGACACGTGGGCGCACCGTCGTCGAACCGCCTCCTCGACGCGGAAACTACACGTCCCATCCACCAGCCGGCGTCATGCGCCTGCCACGTGAATGGCGCCGTACTGAGAGCGTCAGCGATGACGGCTACTACGTCGAGTACAGGTACATGCACTGCGCAGAACTGCGCAAACACAAGCTGACTTTATTTTCCAGGAGGTCGCAACCTCGAGTCATTGAGTACTATGAGCAGCCACGCCACAGCACCACTCGCGCCCGAAGCGTGTCGAGGCGCCGCATCAGTGATGTTGACCGCAGGACGCCAAGGACAAGCTACGTAGACCCGCGTGGCAGCTATGTCGACGAGAGGGTCACGAGGAGAAGCGTCAGCCGAGTGAGGCACTGAATATGCTTTGAGAATTTAATCAAATCAAAAGTAGGCTCCTTTTGGAGAGCCAAATATAAACGCGATACCGAGGCTGACGTTGTAGTGCGCAAGTATCTGCATGGGTTTTGCTACAGATGCATACGCTACCTCTGAAGCGACTATGATAACGAAGGTTATGTCAGAAAATTAATGAGATTTTATTTTCATGCATCTTCTCACCTATTCTCCAGTGTCATCCATATCCACGTTTTTCTTGAATTTTGACTCACTGCATGAACTCACCACATTCGAAAAAAGACCGCATGGATGACTATAGCCGCAAACATCTTGCGCACTACTTACTTGAGGAACAGGTACTAGCGCAGCTTTGTAGGGCGTGAAACCCTGGTCATTATCGCTACAAGCCCCACCGTGGAGCCCCGGGGAAGAAAGAGATAATCGTGCCCCAATTATTTCCGAGATCAATGACTAGATACAGCCTCGAGTCAGAAAAGTCACACATCTGGCGTTTTTATTAGTCTATCAATACTCCTCGCTGGGCACATCATACTACGCAAGTCAACCGTACCATCGTCAATAATTCGCAATGGCATCCAATCCAATGGGCCGCTGTTGCATTGTCGGCGTCCAGCATGAGGGCACACCAAGAGGTCAAATCAAGCAAATTGACAATAGTAACAACTCGCTACCATATAACTCTCCAACATGCCCAACTAACCAACACTAGTCCGCACATACTTTACATACCCCGAAGACGGCAACACCCACCATGCCATTGTAATCATGACCGACGTATTCGGCATGGACTTTCCCAATGTCCAGCTCATTGCCGATCAATTCGCCGTATGTCACGTTCTACCCACCTCGACACATTCCCTCCCTCCGTATTCACACATGACCAGGCAAATGGCTACCTGACCGTCATCCCCGATGTCTTCAATGGAACCCAAGTCCAGTTCCCCGCCCCAACCACATTTAACCTGGAAAAATATATAGCCACCACGATGCCCCAACCAGACACCGTCGACCCCATCTACGCCCGTGTCATCAACCATCTTCGGGGCGAGCTAGGCGTCAAGCGCCTGGGCGGTGTAGGCTACTGTTTTGGAGGCAAGTACGTGTGTAGATGGCTGAAGCAAGGCGCACTAGATGCCGGATTCATGGCGCATCCGAGTTTTGTCCATGCAGATGAAGTCAAAGGTATCCAGGGGCCGTTGAGCATTGCTGCTGCAGGTACGTTTAATGTTCGCTTACAACAATCCAATCAACCAATCAACCCAGTCAACCCCAAAAAAAGAGAGAGAAGAACTGTACGCAGAGGAAGGGGTTAGTTATCACAAGTCTGATAACGCTACAGAAATCGACGACATTTTCACGCTGGACGAACGCCGCCAAACTGAAGACTTGCTCACACAGCACACGGTGCCCTATCAAATATTTCTCTACTCAGGCGTCGAGCATGGCTTTGCTACAAAGGGGGATTTGGCCAATGGCAAGGCGAGATTTGCAAAGGAACAGGCATTTTTCCAGGCCGTCTGTTGGCTGGATGGGTATGTCAAAAGGGGGGCTTGAAGGGTAGGGGACTGTATTATGACGGCTTGCAATGATTTGAACCAGTAAGTCGTGAGGATTTACTTCTCTAGGCTTTGCTAACGACAGTTAAGATAGAATTGCAGGTTTAATAGTTCCGTTCATCCATTCCATACCACCATTCTCTCATACATATCCAACAAGTCGTCCACCTTCGCTTTATTTTCTCTCATTCCAAGCCCACGGTGGCTCCCCATTTTCGTCAAACTCGGCCCAATGGAAAAAGCTACAGCCCTTCTGGCCAGGCACATATCCCGCATGACACATCCACATGTACCTCCCCCTCGACTCCTTCTTCCTCGTTGCACAGCGCAGCACGGTCGGGACCCCACACTTACACTTGGGCGTGTACTTTGGATGCAGACTGTCCTTGTAACAACGATACGTGATATTGATCCGCTTGTTCTTGGCCAGCGGATGGGGGTCGATGGCTTGGGCAGGCGCAATGCAATGTTTCCACTCCTCCTGCATATCGGCATGCATGATCAACAGCGAATTATGCGGGAGATGTATACTAATCTGGCCCTGGGCATCTGCCAGCGATCCATCTTCCTTGCTGTACTCGTCGTCGTCCTCGGCGACAATTCTGCGCACGCGGAATTCGCGCGCTACCCCTAGACTCAGGCTTCCGATGATGGCACGGGGACCCAGGTACGTGAGTTGATCGGCATGGTATCCGACACTTTGCTGGGGCCCGTCATAGCAGTTGACAAAGGCCGTGTTTGCTTTCCACGGATGTGGTGATTGGAACCTGAGTTTTTTGCCATGTGGATAGAAGTCACGGATTCGGCGCTGGACCTCGCGGTTGACGGCATCTTCGACCTGCGGACATGCCTTTAGCATCTCTGGGAGACTCTGACGGACGTCCTGAAGAGCGTGAGTATGATGCAAGGCTGAGGGCGAAATCATGATTACCCACCTCTATCTGGCGACCGTCGTAGACATATTCCGTCTTTTGCTTGTCGGCCTCTTCTAGACTGTTGACGTAGAATGCAAACGTGTGCGGACTCAAGACAACCCTGTCAAACAACTGAAACTCGAACTTCCGGTACGTAGAAGTATCTTCCAGCAGCTGTGATAGCAGCGCGTCTGCTTGCTTGGCCGGCAGGAAATTGTGGATGATGGAGCATGGGGTGTGGCTTTCAATGTCTTCGGGGCTATACAGGAACAGCGTCTTGCCTTTCTTGACCACGGGCTTCTTCGCTGATACGCCATTGTTTGGCGGTTGGATACGGTATGAGCTTAAAGACGACTGATATCCGACAGTAGTTGGTGTAGGACGCTTTCTCGGAGGCGAGCTGGATGACTGAGTCAGGTACTGGGAGGCCTGCTCAACTGCCCCATTGGCCGCGAGTAACGCTTCGAGCAAGGCCGCCTCGTCAACACGGCCATGCATAGACGCTAGCAAAGCCAGCTTGAAGTCCGTAGATTCTTCCTCCTCTTCTCCCCCCTGCTGCTCTGCTCGCAGTGAAGCCTGCTCCGTAGTTGTCGCCGCCGACGGCCTGACCACCTCACCCCGCTTTCTCTTGCGCGTCACAAACGCGTCCATGTCGGTTTTGTGGATTGGCTATCGCACCCATGACGAAGACAAAGGCGCTGCACGCGTTGCTTGTGCCGCAGTCACAGTGGCGGCGGCGACTAACACCCACCAACGCGCGGTCACGTGAGCAGGCTCGCCCCGGGCGGTCCGAGTCAGCCCCGCCATAGCTACTCTGCCTGCGCCTCGGCCATTGCACACGCATCGTCATCCGCCGCCCAAGCATGCACCACCGCAATCCCAGCTTCACTTCGCAACGCGCAATGACGCGCCGTGTCCTGCACTCTCTCCACGCCCCCTAGTCTGTTCGCGTGGATCTGCCTTTGCCTTTTCCCAGCCTCAATTCGTTCCTTTGTTGCCCCTCCACTGCCGCCGCCGCCACCATGCTCGAGTTCCGGACCCAAGGCTTCAACGGCTACTCGGTCAAGTACAGCCCCTTCTTCGATTCGCGCATCGCGGTCGCAACCTCGGCCAACTTTGGCCTCGTGGGCAACGGGCGCCTCTACATTCTCGGGCTGACGGCCAACGGCATCGTCGCTGAAAAGTGGTATGTGATTTCGCGCTATAACAACCCGCTGGTTTCTGCGTTGCCCAAATCCACCTTTCACATGCTAACCCGAGCCCGCTGGACCAGGTTCGACACGCAAGACTCCCTCTTCGACAGCACGTGGTCGGAAGCGCACGAGAACCAGCTGCTGACGGCCGGCGGCGACGGCTCCGTCAAGCTCTTCGACATCAACGTGCCCACGTACCCCATTGCCTCGTGGCAGGAGCACGCGCGCGAAGTCTTTGCCGTCCACTGGAACCTCGTTGCCAAAGACACGTTTCTGTCGTCGTCGTGGGACGGCACAATCAAGATCTGGAATCCAAATGCAAATGCCAGCATCACGACGCTGCCCACGCATTCGTGCACCTACTCGGCCAGCTTCAGCCCCCATAGCCCCAGCATCCTCAGCAGCGTCAGCTCAGATAGCCATTTGCGTGTTTTTGACCTGCGCACCCCAGCCAGCGCGAGCAACCACTTGACCATGAGTCTGCCCATTCACCAGCCGCCGAAGCCGCGCATGGGCGCCGCCGCTCCCGTCGGCATAGCGCCCGCCGAAGCCCTAACGCACGACTGGAACAAGTACCGTGATAGCATTGTTGCAACCGCAGGCGTCGACCGCGTCATTCGCACCTTTGATATCCGCATGCCGGGTCAGGGCCCCATTGCCGTGTTGCCAGGCCACGAGTATGCCGTCAGGAGACTGAGCTGGAGCCCCCATCTATCAGATATCCTGCTCAGCGCCAGCTACGACATGACGTGTCGTGTGTGGACGGACGGCAGCGCCATGGGCGTCGGCAGTATCAAGCAGGACAATATGCTCGAGGACCCCATGTTCTACGGCGGGGGCAGGGAAATGGGCAGAATGGGCAGACACACAGAGTTTGTCACGGGCGTCGACTGGTGTCTGTTTGGCGCAGAGGGCTGGTGTGCGAGTACCGGGTGGGACGAGAGGGTCCTGGTATGGGATTGCCGAGCCGTCATGCAATAGATTGATTGATCCACTCTGCCGTTCTCTCACATGCAAAATTGCGGGCATGTCTTTCCATGCAACCCATGTGATGCATTCTCTCTCGACATGACTACACAGACACAACACCACCTGTTCGATCAGAAAAAGATAACAGGGAAACACGAACAACAAAATAACGACGATGCATGTCCCGGCGCTGCAATCCCCCCTCCCCCTTCCCACCATCAACATGGCTAACCTGGGACAAAGAAACAAGACAGGGTATCATCATCCCATTGCAACACGCCAAACACCCCAAATGCAAATTTGCCCTCTTTCCCTCCCCCACCCCATGCGCCGTAGAAATGCAGCCTTGCCCTCTTTCGCAAAACGCCTCGAATCATCCTTTTCCTCGACTACTTCCTCGCCGTCTCCGTCTCCGTCTCCGTCTCCGTCTCCCTCTGAATTGTAATCCCTAAAGTTCACCCAGGTTGAGGATGTCGTCGAGCGTATCGTCCATCTCCTGCATGTCTTGCACGCTGCCTCCCTGCCAGTACATGTCGACCTCGTCGTCAATCTGCATGGCGTCTCCAAAGTCGATTGTCCATGTTTCGCCATTGAGCGGAGCCTTGGCGTCGTGCGTAGCACTGTGCACGCCATTGGTGAGGGAGCCGTGCATCAGGGGCTTGGAAGCGTTGTTGTCGTATATCTCCTCGATGCCTTCGGTATCCAGGAAGCGGGAGTTGAGGATGGATCCGGCAATCAGCGGTGTTTGCCCGAGGTAGCAGTCGCCGAGTTCAAGTGCAAGACGCAGGTCTTCCATGCAGAGCGGTCTTCGCTTCCGGCGCTCTTCAGCTTCGACGGGGAGTTCGCCGGCGCTTCCTCTCATGAGCTCGCCCTTTTCTGCTAATCGCTCCTCTTTGGCTTGCTTCTTCTTAAACTCGCCCGTCCGCACGTAGCCTGGGCCGTTGCTGCATACTTTGCCCAGCAAGTTTGCCAGCGCCTCCTTGATGTACGTTTCGGTAGCCAGGTTGAGGTAATCAGGGCAGTCGGGCGTGTGGCCTTGTGGCAGTCCGTATTCGTAGCAGATGGGAAGGAGGCGATAGGATATCGTCGTTGCGGTGGGAAATTCGTGGGTCTCCACGTAGAGGGCCGAAGTGTAGCGCTTGCGGATTTCGAGTTCCCAGTCTAGGCAAGCATTAGTATGGGCGGGCAACACCGTCGTGCCAGGACGAGCAAGTGATAAGAGCACTCACTTGTCTTTCCAAATCCACCGCCTTGATTGCTGCTCGGCCCAATGTCCAGCTGCTTGGCCCGTCTCGCATCGACATACTCCTGCACCGACCCAGTGGTACCTGTACTCAGACACTCGGATCCTATGCTCAGCGGGCTCTCTCCTGCTGGTATACCCTTTAGCCGTTTTCTCTCTCTGCGGCTCAGCTGCATGACTTCGTGTTTCAGTCGCTTCTCGCTCTCATCCCCTGTTCCCTTGACCGTCCCGCTCGTGGGCTTGTCGCTACTGCTGACCCAGCTGGCGATGCCCGCTTCTGGGGGGTCGCGCCATATGTTGGCGTAGATGGCTGTGACAAGGGCATTGTGTGCGTGCTCGAGGGCGGGTGTGGTAAGGATCCTCGACAGCTTCTGGGTGAGCTCTTCTTGGTTGAGGTTGCCGAGGAGAAAGAAGGACAGGGTTTTTTTGTAGACGATCCAGTCAGCGTCACTTATGGAGCTCTTCACGGCTGTATATAGGGGCTCGACATCTATGCGTGGGCTTCGTGGGATGCTGGGTTTCTTGGTGACGTCTGTCTGGAGCGACGTCAGGTTGGGCAGGCTGCTGGACGAGAGTGTCGGGGTCGTCGCAACATTCATGTCATTCGGGCGTATTGTGCCTGACATGATGGCAGCGTAGACGCGCCGTCGAGGCGCTCAATGCGCGGTGATGTTCGCGTTGCAAGTTGGTCGCGCAGCGGCACAGATGCGCGTGCCGACGGCGGAGACGACCGAGGCGTGCGGAACAGCAACCGAGGGGCGTGTGGGCTTAGTTGGAGGGCTATTTGGAGTCGCAGCAGCCGTCGGTATCCTTCATCGATGGCAGAGAGATGCAGCAAGTCTTGTGCGGGGTGTGGGTTGATGGGACGGCACGCAGTCGTGGAGAGCGTGAGGTCTGAGCTCGGGGGTCCTGCGGAGTGGACACTGCACATAAGTACATAGCTTAATCACATTCCGGCTGCATTGGTCCCATACCTTCAGCAGAAGAACAACATACATTTTTACAACTACGCCAGACCTGATGCTGATGCTCTTTTCCGCCCAATGCCTTTGTTTTCTCCAGCCGTGTACACCATTGCTTTATGAGTCGCCAAAAACGTCACCCAACTCAACCTTACCAACACTCCAGATCTCCCGCTCGTCCTCCATCTCATCACTCGACAAGCCAAGGCCGCCCGCTCCACCCTCGGCCTCCTTCCTTTCTCTTGCCTGTCCCGCAAGCCTCATAGCCACCCGCTTGAAGTAGTCTCCCATGCTTCGCTGCGGACCAGGAGGCAAGCTCTTGCCTGGACCAGCCATGTACTTGTCGAATACAGCGCTTTCCTCGTCCACTACTGAGAAGATGCTAAGGAATGCAGCTTCCGCAGAAAGCTTGACCGGGATGACCGGGTCGCGGACGGATGCAAATACGACCGGTATGACTAGTGGAATGTGCGGACGCACCAGGTCGTTGTGTTTCCGCGAAACCGTTCGAAGCACGACAAGCCCCAGGCGCCTCGAGTCAACAGGATGACCCGGTTCCACTACAGGTGCAAGGGCCTCAAAAATTGGCTTGGTGTGGTCGAAGCTCTTGTTGCTCTTCTCTGAAAGGAGATACTTGCCAGCTGCGAGAATCGAATTGTCCGAGATGACCGGCTGCGAGTGTGCGATACCCTGGCAAATGATGGACACAGTCTCATCAGCAAACGATTCTGTCAGAGCCTCCGGCGCATCGAGCAGAATGGCATTGAGGGCCAACACGGATGCCTTATTGAAATGCGTAGTAAGTACACGCGCCTTGAGCAGGCTAGACGCAACATCCTCAGGTAAGCAGCTGATGAGTGCACCCAAGAGGCGAGCGTTGGTGATAGCCATTGCATCTGCTCCGTGTTAGTATTTGGCAAAAAAGGTTACAAACTAAGTTGAACTCACCATTAGAATCGTCAGTCTCAGTATCGATGAGACCAAGGATGGCGTTTCTGCTCGCTTCGCTCATGTTTTTACCCGCTTGGCTCACCACCTCGAACAAGGCTTTCAGCATGGCAGTCTTGACAGCCTCATCGCTCGTCTTGGATCCGGTTAACAATTCCGCAATCAGGGGGTCCACCCTAGGTGTAAGTTTGATCAATGTACCCAGAGCCTTGGCCGCTCGTGCTCGCAGGATTTCAGATGATGTATCGGCGAGAGACTTGGCAAACGTTCGCTGAAGCTGCGGTAGGAAGGGCTTGAGGAAGGTTGGGATTTTTCCAAGCAAGTTGTTGAGTGTGAGTAGAATGGCCGCCTTGACATCAACGGAGCGCTCTGTAACCACACGGATGAGGGGTCCGGTGATTTGAGTGACAAACGGCTGCAGTGCTTTTGCGCTTGTCCGGTCAATCACATCGGAAATCGCCAACGCCGCCTGCGTTCTCTGATCCACTGAACCGTTCATGAGACCTTGGAGGAAGATGGGCAAGACGGCATTGATGCCCTTTGGCAATGAGAAACCCGGAAGATCCGCACCCGCAACGCCGACTTGGTTGAGGGTTTGACGAGTGGAAATGACAAGCGACTCCATCTCTTCCTTTCGCAGCCTCTTCGATGTGAGGGTGCTAAGAGCAGTCCATGCTGCCTTGACCACCTCGGGGTCGCTATCGTCAAAGGAGATGAGGAGGGCACGAATGAGATCAGGGTAGTATCTGGAGAAGTCGACATCGGCTTCTGCGAAGAACTTGGCAAGATGCATGTCGGCACGCGCACGTCGCTTCTCGTCGTCGTGCTTGGACAAAGCAAGCATAACGCTCATGGCAGTATTGAGTCCGTCGAACTCATCCACAGACAAGAGTACCTTGTCGAAGGATGCCTCCAGTTCGGACTTAAGGTCTTCATCCTTGGAAGCAATCATGTTGTCCATGATGGTGTTAAGAATGTTTGGCAATCTCCTAGTCATAGCTGAGCTTGCAACTTCGGCCAATGATGCAATGGCACGCGCATTGAAGGCAGACATTGGTGAAGTAAGAAGTGTTGGCAGCAGGTTTGGCAGAATAATGTTGGACCTTGCCTGATCCGTAAGGAGAGTAAGAAGCGCCGAGAGCGCGTTCTGGGCGTCATCCTCTGATCGCAGGAGATTGAGTAGATATGGCAAGACTTGATCAACGGCCTTCTTGCCAAGAATCTGTTGTAGAGCATCAAAAGCGTCCGCGGCGGCTTCTCGTACATCCGCATTGTGGTCCACCAGGGCTGTTCGGACGACTTGAATGAGAGTCTTTTCGTAGTCTTCAAGTTGTTCTGGTGAGGCGGCAGCAATGAGCTCTCGGAGGGCGATACAGATACCTTGTTTGGCATCGGTATCGGTAGTGTGCAAACCTTCTTCCAGAGTGGGCAAGAGAGTAGCGAGCACTCCGTCGCCGGCTTTTCGGATAAGTTCCCCAAGGGCATTGCTGGCGATGACCTTTTGCTCCATGTTGGAGCTTGCCAAGCGACGGATGATGAGTTGAGTAAGAGTAGGGATGAGCTCGCGAAGAGTGCGAGGGCTGGCAACCAAGGCTTTCCAGACGTTGATGGATGCAGTACGCACCAGACCAGAGGTATCGCACCTGCAGATGTACAACGCAGATAGGACCTTGTTCCGCTTCTCCTCTCCGAGGACTTCAAGCAGAGACTGCCCGGCCTCCTTTGCACCCTCTTCGGCCTCCTCCTCCTCCACCTTCCCGCTGATACCCGTAAGGTTGAAAAGCAGATCTCCAACAAGTTCGACGGAACTGAGACGGATACGGTAGCTGTCGTCCGCAAGACCTCTCTCCAACTCTGGTAGCAAGAGATCGATAGCCTTGGTAGCAAAATTCTTGACCAGAAGACGACCAGCACGCAATGCGGTTTCTCTGATTGATTCGACGTCGTCTGCAAGACCACCAAGAATAGGAGGGATGATTTTGTTGAGATAATTGGCAAAGCTGTTTCCGAAACAGACGGGCAAGAAGATGAAGAGCGACATGAAACCTTCTCGGACGGAAGCCCTGCTGCTCGACACGTTCTGCAGAATACTGGGAAGTGTCTCTTCCAGGCGTCCAGTTCCAAGACCAGCGAGGACTTCTGAAAGTGCCTGTGCAGAACCAAGTCGATCTCCAGCACCTGTATCGGACTTGAGCGTAGTCATGAGGCTCGGTATGAGATCGGGCAAAGCATCTTCCCCAAGCTTTTCCACGAGCGATCCGAGTGCTTTGGATGCCGTGGCGCGCGTAGCCGGCACAGGGTCTACAATCGCCACTCGTAAACCGGCCACCAAGATTGGCAAGTGAGATGTGAGATCCTTTCTCTCGGAGAGATATGCCAAACTTCCGATAATCTGGGAGGATTTTCGCTTCGTTCCCGACCGGTCACCCAATCCTCGCTCCAGGATGCGCACTACAAGCGCAAGAGATGGAGCATCAAGGAAATGAGCGAACTGAATCTTGATCAGTGCGTCGAGAGCATCTTCAGTGTGTTTTGTTGGATCACTGAGAGCTTTGAGAATGATGTTGACGACACTCTTGATCTCAGGGTTGCTGATGACTTCACCGAAGCGTTGCAAGCTTCTATTTGCTGAGGCTCTTACTTCTTTGTGACTGTCTGTCAACACAACAGTCAGAGGGGGGATGATGTCGGGCAAGCTGAGAGCCAGTTGGTTTGGATCCAAGTAGGCCATTGCACCCAAAGAGTCGCAAGCTCCCTTCTTACTGCGCCATTGGTCCTCCTCTAGACCTTCTAGAAGTATTGGTAACACCTGCTTTACTCCAAAGGAACTGAGTGTGGAGAAGCAGGTCTTTGCTGCGTCGAGACAAGCCTCTCGAACGTCTGTGCTCGTGTCACCAAACCCAGCAAGCAATTGAGGGACGAGCTGGATAACATATGGCTCAAACAAGCGACCCATGATCAGAGAAAGGAGTTCGTACGCCAAGTACACACCCTGTCTCTGGTTGGGATCTTTCTTGTTCTCGCTGGCTCCCTTGAGTGTGGAAATGATACGATATTCTTTGAGCACAATCAGCCCCTTTCCTTTGACGATACCAGCAAGTCCGTAAGCAGCACCACGGCGTGAGGCATACTTCTTGGACTGTAGTAATTGATCCATCATCTGGTTGATGTAGTTGGAGAGTTCTTGCTCGGAAGTGCGGACCAGAGGCGGGAGACATTGTGCGACAGCATATTGCACGGTCTCGGAAGGTGTGCTGAGTGTCGCCAACAGCCTTTGAACGACCTTGGGGACTCGCTCGTCTCCTGCAGTCAAATGGCGACCCAAAGCACCGTAGAGAATGACGACTGCTTCGTTGACTTGATCATACATCTCAGACTTGCGATCAGGTGCTTCAAGTGCGTTCTCGAACAGCTCCATCAATGGCTCCACCTTAGTTTGTGCTTTTGCGGTAATGACTGCTGTCGCTGCTTCAATCAACTCCTCACGAACTGCAGGGCTGCGGTCTCCCAAAGGACCCTCAAAGATTAAAAAGTTGAAAAACTCTGGAAGGTCGTCGGGCTTGAAGCCTGGGGTCATCTCTTTGAACGTGAGGGCAATACCGTCTCTGCTTTCCCATGGATCTCGCAGGTCGACCTTTCGCGGCATACCATACTCGTCGCGCTCTGGGACTCGCGGTTTGGCTTTTTCTGTGTATGATTCACGAAGCCTCTTCAATAGGTCGTCGAATGTCTCTGGGTACTTCGTTATAATCTCTCCGATTGCTCGGGCCGTTGCTCGTCTGAGCTGTTTGTCGAGAGAGTCAAGGTATGGGAGCATCTGTACACCTGCCTCTGGTTTCAGTTCCAGATCGTTCTCCTCCCAGATAGTCTTTGCTAGTTCTGCGTTTTCTTGGACATCATCGTGACAAGCAATCCAGACTTCTTCACTAAAGGTCATGTCGTTCATGTCGAGCTCGGCATCGATAGCTTGTAGAATCGCTGTTCGAACGCCAGTTTCTGGAACGATGGTGCCACGAAGCAGTGCACCTAGCTCTTCGTTGGTGATGTTTGGAGCAAGGCCACTAGCAAGATTTGTCATGCAGTCCTTGATCATCTTGTAATGCTGCTGGTATTTCTGCATTGACCACACCAAGATCTCAATCAACTCCCTGCGCGGAAGTCGGTCGTCGGTACCTGTTGATGTTTCAGTTCTGTGTCTTAACTGGAGAGGCAAGGTACTCACAAGAGTTGGTATGGAAAGTGAGAATTTCAATGGCTAGAATGAGTTGCTCATCAGCCTCCTCAGGCGAAGATCTGCCTATACCACCCTTCTCTAGAACTAAAAAGATGAGAGGCAAGCAGTATGCGAGAGACACAGCATCCAGCGGCCGTTGTTCACTCAAGAAGCGAAGTCGGTATAGAACGCGTGTTACCAAGTCTGAGACTGTCAGCGCACATCGAGAAACTGTCAAAGGGAGCGAAATTGACTTACCACCTAGGTCCTCACCTTCATACTCTTTCGCGAGCTGTATGGAACCAATTGTTCGGAGAACGGCCACACCAACAAATGGTCTTAGCGTACCCAAACGGTTGGATATCTTCTCAGAGCATGAGATCAGAGCAGTCGCTGGAACATCTCCCAGAAGAAGTCCAGCACCATCACGGACAGCCTGGATTAGGAGATTAACCGTTGGTCCCATCCACTGTTCTGCCTCAGTTGGAGGACCAGTTGCAAGGCTCCTGATGATGCCAACCCCTCGCCTCATTCTTTGCTCAATACCAGCAACTTCCTTCCTGATGGCCGATTCCTTTGCCAATTGAGCGTTGACCTTGGCTTGCTCGTCCGGCGTGAGTTTCTTGGTCTGTCCTTTCTTTTGCGCAAGCTGTGCTCGGAGCTCCTCTTCCCATTTCAAAGTGTCGTAGTCCTTGGTGTTTTTGTCGATCACAACTGGGGCCTTCTTGGACAAGACGTCTATATACGCAGTGCCTTCAGGTGTACGGAATATCGCAGCCTCTGTCGGGCCAACGGATTCCAGTTGCTTGGGGTCCAGGTCTTGGCTGAATTGTTTGACTATGGCGGGCAAGGCGACATCTGGAGCAACGAAAGCCATATCGGCATAAGCGCTGTAGGCTGCCAGGCTGATTGCAGGGAATTGCGCATTGCCGTGGTCCTTCAGGATCTATTAGCACTGATATTATATGTGTGATCTTAGGAACAGCATACCTCAGTCGCGTCGTTTGCGGTGCGTATAAAATCTTCCAAATTGTTTCGAACTACGTCGCCTGGGTCTACACCCATGCGCAGGCACAGGTCAATCCAGGACACACGGGGAATGATCTCCTTCCTTGCGAAGACAACGAGTTTCATGGCTTGTTTGTGCAATGTCACAGTGTCAATGCTGACATCCTGTTTCTTCAGGACATCTTGGGGAAGACATATGCAGCTCAACACGGCCCCAAGATCGCTAGAGCCGGTTTTCGATGCCAACGCCGCGCTCTCCTTATCTTCAAGTTCAGTTGACCTGTACCATGACCATATCCCATCGATAATAATGTCACTTATCTTCTCCGGTGATGTGTGGAGGTATGCTTGCGTCAGTGCTTGTCTGGCAGCCGTCTTTGCTTTGGCGGAAATGCCCTGGGCGACAATAAGGAAAATATAGGCCTGTGCCCATGCATCCGGAACGTCCTTGGAGGTAGCTTGGATGACACTTGGCGCGACGGCGTTCAGTGCACGCAGTGCGATTGAGACGTCCTCCTCGGTGGATAGTTTTGCGTACACTTTCGGATTGAGGATGAATGAGGGCTTTGGCTTTGTGGCGAGCGACTGCGTGATGACATCGGATTTCTTGAAGATTGACACCAGTTTCTCGTCTTTCATATTGTAGACTCTATCAATGAGAAGCGCAGTAACGTAGTGCCCAACGGTGACTAGTCCACTCTGGGACGCTGGGAGCGGGTTGGCATTGACATCCTGCCAGAGCTCAACAAGCTTCGGCAGCGTAGTCTGACAGAAGGCAAGCACGTCTGGCTGGGCCTTTTGATCTTCAGAAAGGTTCCACCAGATGTCTGCTGCCCTGATTGCCCAGAGCCGTTTGACAGGCACCCGCTTATCGCCCATGCCTTTGATGAAAGCATCCGCCACTGTCTTGTCAATAGCGACACCGCTGGCTAGGCCAAAGTTCAGATGGATCGTCATGGCTGATACTTCGGCTAGCACCGCTGGCTCACTTGGCTCCTTCAATGCCACCGGAGCGATGCCCACGGGAATCTTCTTGGACAGCGAGGGCGACTCAGGCAGCACTGCGAGCATCTGAGCGTGCAGGACCTTTTGGTCGGCGCCCGATACCTTGGCTTGCTTGAGGGGATTGAGCACTTCGTCTGCAACCTTGTCCATCTTGTCGCTGTCCTTTGATCGCAGGGCCAGCGACTTGAACGTGCGTAGGGCACCTGCTCGAATTGCAGGGTTGGTAGATTTTACGTTGGACAGCAGCGGCTTCAGCATATTGCTGAGCAGGATGTCTGAGAGATCCATGGAATCGGGAAGGGCGAGAATCATGGGCGAGATGATGTCGTTTAGCACCACCTCGGGTGCTCTGAGGAGCGCCTTCTCGATGGGTGGGAAGACATCCTTGCGCAGCTCTTCCAGCGTAGGGAAGCTGTCGAAGAAGTCGTGCAGCGCGTTGGAGACATGGTCTGGGAGCTGGCTTCTTGATCCAATAATTTCTCTTGTGTAGTAGGCGTAGTAGTCTTGCTTGTGGTTTTCCAGGAGCGGCTTGACGGCGGGCAGCCTGGACGACACGCCTGCGATGACGCCGAGGTAGACGGCGTTCCCTGGCGTAGGAGTGGGGCCCTTTGCAGTGAGGGTGGTTACCAGCGTAGAAAGAGCGTCTTTGCCAAGTGCCTCTGAGCGGAAGACAGCACGCAGAGCCCGGCGCGCAGAGACGAGAGCAGAGTCTGCGAGGCGGCCAGCCCGGCGATGGCTGCCTGCACCCACACATGTCTCGAGTGCCTGCGCATTGGCGAGGGCTACATCCAGGCCATAACTCGCCCATACATCAGGTGCGGCTGCCAATTGCAAGAGCAGCACCGAGCACCAGTCGTTCAGCACAAGGGCATTGGCGTGGGCGATGCCCTTCTTGGCACACTCTTGCTTGAGAAACTTGACAATGGGCGGCAGCACCGTTTTCCCGAGCGGCCCGGTCACCAGCGCCTTGAGGACGGCCTCGACGGCGCGGCGGGACTCGCGGTCGTCGTACAGCGGATATGTCTCGAATAGCGTTTGCAGGAGGGCCTGGAGGTCGGCAATGGCCAGTGGTGCTGCACGGGGCGGATCTGGTCAGTCTCGTTGTGCTCGTGTCCATGTGCACTGGGGGGGGGGCTTCTGGGCACTCACCGTCGTCTGCGACGCGGTGCTGCAGGCCCGACAGCTCGTGAATTCTGCGCTTGGTGGAGCTCGTGATGAGCTTCTGGCGCAAGGCATCGCGGTCCAGGGCCTGCGCTTCAGCATCCCCATTCGCAGCCATGTCGTCGCGTCCACATGAGAAGGCCGAGTGCGGGGTGTCGTCGGCGGCGGCGGCGGCGGTGGTGGGGTGGGTGCGAGCAGCGTCAAGCGCGAAATGATGATGCCAAGATTTCTCTCGTCTATTTGCTAAGTAATACGAACACGAAGGAGGATAGGCACCCGCTGCCGCCCTAACCTAACAGACTCGCCGGCCATGTGGAGCGCGCTGCCATCATCGCCCCCCCACCACGCTGGCACTGGCACCAGCACTGGCACCAGCACTGGCCTCGCCGCCCGACCAAGTACCGCTCATAAGAAGAATAACACCCAATCGCCCGTCTCCAACAACACTGCACTGCACCAGCACTGCACAGCGCCCTGATGCGTCCAGCCCGCGCCTCAGCCCTGCCCAATCTTGATCTTGCTCGGGACCAGGCCCCGAGATACTCTATACGGCAGCCCGCGTGAACCACGCCGTTGCCCCTCTCCCACCCCCCAGGAACCCTCGCCCACGAGCTCCTCCCATGGCGAAGAAAAAGAAGCCCGCCGGCAACCCTGCGCGAGGCTTCGCAACCACGTCGGTCGCCAGCAAGCCAAAGCCCGAAAAGACGGCCGCCGACCCCCCGGCCAAGGAGGTCGCCAGTCTGCAGCCAGAAGAAATCCCCGCCGTGCCAGAGCCTACGTCTCAGCCATCCCCCCAGGCACACGCTGCCGCCAAACAAGAAGCCGCACCAACTCCCGAGGAGCTCGAGGCTCAGTTGGAACGCGATGAGCTCCAATTGCTCGTCGAGAAGCACGCTGCCAAGGTCCGCCGCGAATCCCATCGCCATGTGTCGCGCTTCCAGACAGACCGTAGATTGCTTCGCAGTCAGGCCCACTCCGTAACCGTTCACGAATGGCTGCCCAGCGACATTTTGGACAGCATCATGCTGCTAGCACAGGCCGAATCCAACGATTCAAACAGGAGGCAGAACCAGCAGTCCTTCCTCAAGACACTGACTGAAGATGACGCAATATCGAAACTATGGACCCTCGATCTCAGCCTACGTGAGCTGGGCTTCTTGCAAACCCACATTGAGCCTGCGCTGAGATGGCTCTGCGCCAATGCTGCCGGCGTCGATGCATCGTCGGCTGTATGGGGCCTCCAAGAAGCTCTGGAATGGCTGGCGCTGCATCAGTCCGAGAACCACACTTTTTCCTACGAAGAGTCGCAGCCCAAACGCTCAGCATTCGACACTCCTGAAACATCCCGACCTCGTGAGTCTCTCTGCTGCATTTTCTTTCTGTGCATATATCTTCAAAAATACTCATGTGAATGTTGGCGATTCGTCGCCTGGCTCAGTTGTCGTCAAGTTGAGTGCACCACGCTAACCCAAGATAGCCACACCACCTTCCGAGCCTCCCACCAATAGCGCAGCCGCACCACCTCCCTCAACTCCTGCTAGGTCGAATGGGTCCACGGTGCCTGAAAATGACCAAAGGGATGTCCATGTCAGCGACCTGGACAGCGATCTTGAACTCGACGACCTCATCCCCACCTACCTTAAGATCAAGGGCAAGCTGTACGAGATTGACCCACAGCTTGTTGAGTCAACCTCACGAAAGCCACCAAAGGGTGCAAAATCCAAAAAGTCAACACCCGCTCCTCCTCAAACACCAGTTGTTCGAAAATTGCTCTCGCAGCTACAGCAACTTACATCAGATGCCCTCTTTGACGAATATCAAGCCGAAGCACAGTGGCCTGCCAAACGCAACCAAATCGCCCAAAAACAAGCCGAAAAAAGACAGCAAAATGGCACGCAACCACATACCCCGAAATCTCAAGAAGAGAATGGAATTTCAAAGACTCCAGTATCGACCGAGGCTGAGACGCCCGCAGCTCCAGCTTCTCCAAAGGCTAGTCAAGATGAAGAGGATGCCGACTTGCTTGGGGGAATGTTCTCTGCAGTTCCTGACGCCTCACCAGCTTTGGAGCCTACATCCAATGGCACGAGTTCTGGTGATGTGGCTGTAAGGGACTTTGGCAAGACAGGAGGAGGGGTGTCTCCCCGCAAAGTGCTCGAAGAAGCAGTCCGCTCAAGGTAGGCAACACCCGCTAATTTATAAGCACTAGCTAAAATACATCAGGGATTCTAGTGCGCGTTTGGCCTACAAAATGATCTCGCCAACAGTGTACACTTGCCGGCATTCACTTACGATCACTTGGTCCAAGGACACTGAAGTCGAGTACGACACTGAGATTGTCGGTGTGACCACGACCCCCTATAGACGGGAGGTTACGTTTGCAACAACCGGCGTCGCTACAGTATCCGCTGAACAAAGCGAGAGCTTTGTCTCTGTCGCCGCTCTCTTTTCCATCTCTGCCGCCTCACCGAAAGAAGAAAAGGTGTACATGCGGCTTCCACCAAACTGGAGAGAGCTTTATAGAGAATTCTTGGAACAGCGCAAGACACGCATGGATGCCGCGGACCGCGACTCGATCAAACACTACCGCTCAGTCATTCAAGATCAAGTCGAAAATGAAGAGTCGGACGGTGTCGTGTTCATAAATCGTTTTAAGATGCGCAATCAGGCTGCAACAGGCTCCAGTACTTCAAATTCAGGGTATAATACGCCAGTACGACAACACGACGGTCTGAAAGAGCTCTGGACTGCAAAAGTCTCGACTCCTTCATACCAGCACATGCTTGTCGGCCGGACAAACCTTCCAGTGTTTGGCTTCAAAGAGTCCATTCTTTCGACTGTGGACAAGAACCAGGTTACCATCATTTGCGGTGAGACTGGCTGCGGCAAGAGCACGCAGATTCCATCTTTTGTTCTCGAGCACGAACTTGCGCAGGGCAAGGCATGCAAGGTTTATTGTACTGAGCCAAGACGAATTTCTGCCATTTCGTTGGCGCAACGTGTGAGCGAGGAATTAGGTGAAGGACCAAAAGACGTCGGAACTATGCGCTCACTCGTCGGTTATGCGATCCGACTTGAATCCAAGATGTCGTCTCAGACTCGCTTAGTATACGCAACTGTGGGTGTCGTACTACGCATGCTGGAATCATCTGGAGGACTGCAAGAGGTCACGCACCTAATCATTGACGAGGTCCACGAAAGGTCCATTGACACGGACTTTCTCCTGGTTATTCTCCGGTCGTTGATGGAGCGTCGACCTGAATTGAAGGTCATACTGATGAGTGCGACTGTCGACGCTGCACGTTTCTCGAGCTACCTCAATAACGCTCCTATTCTGAATGTGCCTGGTCGTACCTTTCCAGTCCAGACACGATATCTCGAGGACGCCATCGAGTTGACGCACTATGCTGGAGCATCCGAGAAAAACACGAACACGGCCACAAGCGACAACGACGAAGATGAGATTGCGAGCGATAAATCTGGCATTCCTAGCAAGCTCCCTGGTTACAGTGCTGCCACACGCAATGTGCTTTCCAATTACGACGAGTACGCAATCGATTACGATTTAATTGCTCGTCTCATTGAGACGGTCGCGTACGAGCCACAGCTGAGCCGCTTTAGCAGTGCCATTCTTGTATTCCTTCCTGGCATTGCTGAGATTCGCCAACTTAACGACATCCTAGCTGGCCACCCCTCTTTCAAAGCTGATTGGTATGTGTACCCGCTACACTCCACTATTTCGAGTGAGGATCAGCAAGCCGCCTTTTTGATTCCTCCGCCGGGCATACGCAAGATAGTGCTTGCTACCAACATTGCAGAGACTGGAGTGACGATTCCAGATATCACGTGCGTCATTGACACTGGCAAGCACAAGGAGATGAGGTTCGATGAGCGAAGGCAGCTATCTCGCCTGACGCAATCGTTCATCTCAAGAGCCAACGCCAAGCAGCGCCGTGGTCGTGCCGGTCGTGTGCAAGAAGGACTCTGCTTCCACCTTTTCACAAAACATCGCCACGATAATCTTATGGCTGAGCAACAGACACCAGAGATGCTGAGGCTATCGCTTCAAGATCTTGTCATGCGAGTGAAGATTTGTAAGCTGGGAGATATTGAAGCTACCCTCGCTCAAGCGCTCGACGCACCTTCTTCCAAGAACATTCGCCGTGCCATCGATGCCCTTGTGGAGGTGGACGCACTCACTCCGAGCGAAGAGCTTACACCGCTTGGTCGCCAAATTGCAAAGCTTCCATTGGATGCACACCTTGGCAAACTCGTCTTGCTTGCGAGCACATTCAGTTGTGTTGATGTTGCCATTACCATTGCCGCAATCCTTTCTTCCAAGTCGCCATTTATAACGCCTTTTGGTGCAAAGCAACGTGCTGATACCGCGCGCCTTGGGTTCAAGAAGGGCGACTCAGATCTGCTGACGACATACAACGCCTACAAGTCGTGGAAAGCAGTATGCACTACTCCAGGGCGGTCCGAGATGCAATTCTGCCACAAGAACTTCCTCAGTCCCCAGAACTTGGGCAACATTGAAGACCTCAAAGCCCAGCTCTTCTCGTCGCTTGTGGAGGCTGGATTCGTGCAACTGACGCCAGACGAGCGGCGCGCCTTGAACCGGTACCGCAGCACTTCACGCCATCGCGTCTTCGTCGAGGTCCCAGCGCAATATGACATGCATTCAGACAACGATGTCCTGGTCAACTCGGTCATCGCCACGGCGTTTTACCCCAAGATCCTGACTCGAGAGGGCAAAGGCTGGCGCAACATTTCCAACAACCAGACGGTTAGTCTGGCCCCGACGTCTGTCAACAAGGGGTCGTCGACGGCGCACTTTCTGTCCTACTACCACATCATGCAGTCGAGCAACAAGTTCTACAACGCACACTCGACTTCGATTGCATATCCCCTGCCCATGGTCCTCATGGTGGCCGCCGACCTCGACTTCAAGCTGCACGCAGGCGTCATCAGTCTGCCGGGCAACGTGCTGCGGTTCGCGGTGCGCGACTGGCGGGCAGCCGTGGGCCTCAAGGTGCTCCGGCGGCGCGTCAAGGAGATTCTAGCGAACAGCTGGAAGAATCCCGCGCGCCAGCTGAGCGACCGCGAAAAAGAGTGGCTCGCCTTGTTCTACAGCATATTTGAACAAAAGTTTGAAAAGGACGAGAGGATTAGAGAGAAGGCGGGCGCAAAGGCAAAGTAGAGTAAAAAAGTGTATGATAAATACTCTCCTCCCTTTTTTCTTGGAGGACAATCTTTCGGAACGTTTTGTAGAAATATAAATGTGTGTGTGGGTATGTGTGTGATGTAACTGACACAATCAACTGTAAAATTTATCCACGCGACCCAAAGCTACGGTCAAGACTATTCATGTGCCATGATTGTGATTATTTTCGGTAAAGCTGTATGTGCTTGGTGAGGTTGATTTATACAGAAGGCTTCTCAAACTCAGGCTTGCCATCCTTGATGGTGGGATGTCGCACTGTGCCCGAGGGGTCGGTGTTTGGTATGGGAGCCTTTGTGCCCTCTTCGCCTATCGACTTGATTTCCTCCTTGATCTTCCTGGAGATTGCATCTTGGACGGCGCCAGGGGGACTGTCGGCAATCTCATCGACATCGCGCAGTGTCAGAACGTCGCTGATGCGCGAGGCACGCGACTGGACGAGCATGGTGGTGGGACCCTCGAAGCGGAGGAAGAGCTAGGCCATGTTAGTGTGTGGAGCAAAACAAGAAAAAAAACCGTAGATGCAGATTGCAACTTACCCTGTCTCCCCAGACGGTTCTCCGCAGCCACGTCTTGAGGGTGTAGTAGGTCGTGGCTAGAGCGCGCCATGTGGCAGTCTTGCTCATGTTGCGGAAGAAGTCGGTGTTCTGGATCATGGAGCCAAAGCCCAGGTCTGGGACTTGAAAGCGGACATTTGACGACTTGAAGCGGAAGGGCATGGGTGGGGTGTTGGATGCTGTGTATGCCACAACATTGCTGGACGGAGGTCAGTTTGTCACTTGCTGAATGATTCAAATCGCTGGCGTACCTGGGATGAGCTACGTAGCTCTCGCCGGCCTTGACTTGGACCTGGTAGATCTGGCCGTTTCCTGTGAGGGCCAGCAGGCCTCGGCCGGTGATGTATGTGTTTCCCCAGTTTGCGAGGCCCAGCTTGACGTTGTATTGCGGCTTGAGTCGCAATGTGAGCCCCGTCCACGCGAGCAGGGCCTGCCTCTGGCTGATGATCCAGTCATCTCTGCCGTCCAGGTTGACCGAGACAATGCTCGATATGGGGTTTTTGGTCGAGACGAGCGCTGTGACGGGGCTAGTCGACGAGACTTTTTGGTAGAGAAAGGGAATGCCGACGGGGGCTCTTTGGAAGGGCTCGAGGATGGAGAGGGTGGAAAGCGTGTTTTCCGACTTGCCGCTGAGGCCGACGAGGGTTCCGCGGCGGGTGTAGAGGGTTTGTGAGGCCGACAGGGAGACGGAGAGGAGGGAGAAGGGCGTCCCAATCACCTCGAAGCGGGCGTCTGCGCACGGCTTAGTATGGGCGCCGCCAACGCTATGGAGGAGAGCATACCGGGCGAGTGCATGGGCGAGGGCGTGGCGGTGCCCTCAACACTGACGGCCTGTTGCAGCGCCGGCTCCGAGGGCGACGTGGTGGCTGATATGTTGATGCATCGCGCCGCCGCCGCCGAAGATGTGTGTGCAGTCGGCGTCCGGGGGCGGCAGAGGCTCCTCCAGGGCGCGGCAGCCGGGCGTAGCATGGCTGTGCCGGTCAATTGGCGCGTCGACGGGCGTGGCGAGGGTGGAGGAGGCGGACCAGCGCAGGCGTGAATGGATGAATGATATGATGCAAGCCCGCCTCGCTTCGCGACGTCAGCCCTGTCGACACGCGCTAGGCCAGGTGGGGGGAAGTGGCATGCATGCATTGCCTGCATCCATGGCCCATCCTCGCCTTTCATCAGGTACTCACAATCTGACGTGCTCGTCCTTCTTCCCCTCCCCCCTCCTCCTCCACCTCTCCCCGGCCATTGAAGCTGTCCACCTGTCTAACATGTCAATGCGGCCATGTTAGTCCCTCCACTTGCCCGTGCCGCCTGTCGGCCGGGCCTTCACGCATCTGGTCTGCGCCTACACCCTGTTCACCACGGCATTCGCGTCTTCACATGCTCTCCCCTGCACAGAAAAGATGTCCACGGCCAGCGACCAAAGCCGGCCATTGAGGCCACCAAGCCCGCCGCCGACCCCGCGGCCAAGGCAAAGGCCGCAAAGGGTGATCCGTTGCTGGCAGAGCAGGTCCTGACCAACAAGGAGCAGCGCAAGGCCGACTGGGCCATTATGAAAGAGATTTCGCAGTACCTGTGGCCAAAGGACAACATGGGCACCAGGTTCCGGGTTGGACTCAGCGTGGGCTTGCTGGTCAGCGCAAAGCTGCTCAACGTGCAGGTTCCCTTCTACTTCAAGAGCATTGTAGACGCCATGAACATAGACTTTGCCGCTGTAGGCGGCACCGCGACTACCGTGGCAGGCTCCATGATTATCGCTTGTAAGCTAGACCCAGCAATGTATCCTCGTCCCACCGCAGCTGAGACTATGACTAGACGGTTTGACTCGTATCGGCGCAACTGTATCGCAGGAACTGCGCAATGCCGTCTTTGCCAGTGTTGCCCAAAAGGCCATTCGCAAGGTCGCCTGCAGTGTGTACGAACACCTGCTGAGGCTTGACCTGAGTTTCCACCTGTCCAGACAAACCGGAGGTCTGACAAGAGCTATTGATCGCGGTACCAAGGGTATCAGTTTCCTACTGACTGCCATGGTCTTTCACATCTTTCCTACAGCACTCGAAATTTCCCTGGTGTGCGGCATTCTAACGTATCAGTACGGTCTGCAATTCGCCCTCATCACCAGTGCCACCATGACTGCCTACGCCGCCTTTACCATCATGACCACCTCGTGGAGAACAAAGTTTAGAAAACAGGCCAACGCTGCCGACAACAGGGCTGCGACTGTTGCTGTCGACTCCATGATCAACTATGAAGCTGTCAAGGTATGTTCTGTGACTATTTGAACACCACTGATATCCCCCTACTAAGATCTGCAGTACTTCAACAACGAAAAACACGAAGTCATGCGCTACGACAAGGCCCTTCAGGAGTACGAAAAAGCCTCCATCAAGGTCGCCACTTCGCTTGCCTTCCTCAACTCGGGCCAAAACATCATCTTTTCCTCGGCTCTGACTGCCATGATGTACCTTGCCTGCAACGGCGTCGCAACTGGCCAACTCACCGTCGGCGACCTGGTCATGGTCAACCAACTCGTCTTCCAGCTCTCTGTGCCCCTCAACTTCCTCGGCTCTATGTATCGTGAACTTCGCCAGAGTCTGCTTGATATGGAAACTCTTTTCAATCTGCAAAAAGTCAACGTTAACGTAATCGACAAGCCCAATGCTCCACCACTGGCCCTCAAGACGGGCGAGATTAAATTCGAAAACGTATCCTTTGGCTACCGTCACGACCGCCCCATTCTCAAGAACCTCAACCTGACCATTCCCGCCGGCAAGAAAGTTGCTATCGTTGGGCCCAGCGGTTGCGGAAAATCCACCATTCTCCGCCTGCTCTTCCGCTACTACGACGCACAGGAAGGTCGCATTCTAATTGATGGCCAAGACATCCGGGACGTCAGTCTCGAGAGCCTACGCCGTGCCATTGGCGTAGTGCCCCAAGACACGCCCCTCTTCAACAACACAATCAAGCACAATATCCACTACGGCAATCTCGACGCAACCGAGGACCAGATCCAGGAAGCTGCCAGACGCGCTCGCATCGACGAGACGATCGCTCGTTTCCCCGACGGTTACAAGACCATGGTCGGCGAGCGAGGCATGATGATTAGCGGTGGTGAAAAGCAGCGCCTGGCTATTGCACGATTGGTCCTGAAAGACCCTCCGCTCCTATTCTTCGATGAAGCCGTATGTCTCCCTCTAACCCCCCTCCTCCCCTTTCCCAATCTTCGGATATGTCTTTGCCTACCCACACACACACATGAAAAGGAAATACTTTGCTAACGCACAAAATGCGACAACTACAGACTTCAGCACTAGACACGCACACGGAGCAAGCGCTCCTAACACACATCAATTCGCTGGTCAAGGAGAAAAAGCGCACCTCGGTCTTTGTCGCACATCGCCTCCGCACCATCTACGACTCTGACGTCATCATCGTCCTGCGTGAGGGCGGCGTCGCCGAAAGCGGAACCCACCAGCAGCTCATTGACCGCGGCGGCTTGTACAGCGAGCTTTGGAGCGCCCAGGAGACCATGTTTGTGGATGACGAGGCGGCGGAAGATGTGAGTGAGTTGGAAGAAGAGGTTACTAAGAAGCAGCCGTGATTGAGTCTGTTCCATTATCTTTTTTTTTAACTAAAGAGGGAATACATGGAGATGGTAAAAGTGTAATTTCGAGCCTCTGTTTCTAGATAGAGGGTTTTTGTAGATATGATAAAAATATTTCGTTCTTTTTTTCCATTTATTTTTCCTACGAGATATTCGCCTGTTGCTTTGGAACCATGACACTACGGTTTCCAGAAATCTAGTGACGATACGACTATCATCTCACGAAGCGAAAAAGCGATGATTCATTCCATCCATAGCTATCCATAGCTATCAGCATTTCCCAAAAGCCTAGTTGCAAGACAAAAAAATTCATTCAGAACCCACCCTACTTGACCTGCATTCCTAACACGTCTACTCGGCAATCTCAGCGGCAATCTTCAAAATCTCCTCTACGCTCTTCCGCGCATTCTTCGGATCCTTGGCGACCGCCTGCCAAATCTCGCCGTGGCGAGGCTCGGCAAGCGCGGCCTTACTCAGGGTATCCTGCTTCTTCTCGTCGGTGCCATGCTGCAGCAGAAACTTGTAGTACCAGATCCAAGCGTCGCCAAAGTCGCTGTCGAGGGTAACGGCCTTGACGAACCAGGTAGCCGCCTTGTCGAGGCGGCGCTCGGCCCAGAAGATGCGGGCGACGACGACGAAGAGCAGGGCGTCTTTTTCGACTTTCTTGATGGCTTCGAGGGCGCGCGGCTTGCGCTGCGTGCGGCCTTCGAGGTGCATGATTTTCTCGGCCCAGAGAAGCCCCGAGTTGGGGCATTGCTGCAGCGCGCCCGCCATGAGTTGCTGCGCTGCGCTCGTGTTGTTTTGCCGGCGCTCCAGACGCACTTGTTCGAGGAGAATCTGCTCGCTCTTGGGGTTCTGCTGGCGGCCGCGGTCGAGCGTCGAGCGCGCTTTGACTATCGCGCCTTGCTTGACTTGTAGCCGGGAGAGAAGGAGGAACAGAACCGGTGCTTTGGGGGCCGCACGAGTGCCAATGTTGAACGCCTCATGGGCTTCGGGGAGTTTGGACAGCTGCTCGTAAACCTGGCCTTTGATTGCGTGGAGCTTCCAGCTGCCGGGCCAGTTCTGTAGGCCTTGGTTGCAAATATCAATGGCTGTCTCGTAGTTTCCTAGCTGTCGCTCAAGCACAGCAGACTTCATGTAGATGCGGTCTGTAGCTGCGGATTCACGAGCTACCTGCAGGAAGCTACGGGCCTGTTCGTAGTTGCCAGCGTCTACCTCAAAGTCAACAGCGCGAGTGTACAGCATTTCGTTACCCGGCAGAGCCTCGAAACTCCGACCCAAGACCTTGCGGGCGCCTTCAGGATCTCCCGATTGCCACATCTCTCGAGCGTACAGTAGCCATAGTGACTCGGAGGTCGGACAGGCATTGACTGCGCGTTCTAGGACGCTTAGAAGTGAGTCCATCGTACCGTGATGCTTCTCAAGGTCAGCAAAGGCATGCCAGACTGTCGTGCTGTAGGGGAAGACGGCAACTGCGAATCCCAGGATGGCTCTAGCAGTCTCTGGTTTGTTTCGGTTCAAAACGCTTCTTGCATCCTCGAGCCATATATCTCGGCGTTCGTCGTCCTCATCAAGACCCCACCCAACAGTTGCTTTGATGATTGCAGTTGCTGTTCCCTTGTCTCCTTGCTCTTCGCAAATCTCTGCTTGTGTGATCCACTCCTCTCGCTTGATCATGGCATTCTCTTTGATGAGCGACTTTACAGCTCGAGTCATGATTGTGTCAAGCATTTCTACTTTTCCAAGCTCCTCCTGGAGCCGGCAAGCGTGTATCCAGATGGCCCAGCTAGTGGGAATGGCTTTGCGGGCTTTGTTGAGAATCTGTTGCGCCGCCTCTGGCTCCGACACACGAGCGTATGAGATCCATAGCTCTTCAGATAGCGGAACAGTCTCGGTCGCTTTGGCGAACAAAAGTCGCACAGCATCCAACTCTTCCGTGTCGTTGATGAGCGTTTTCCACAGCTCCACACTCTGAGGATTGTGGTCCAGAGCTTGTCGAGTGACCTTCTTTCGGGCAGCAGGAGTCTGCTCTAGCTCGATAGCCGCTTGCCACAGCTTGACCGCCTTGGTGTTTTGTTTAATGCCACTTGCAGCGATAATCTTTGCGTTGTGTAGATTGTCGCGGTTCAACCGGATTGCCTCCTCCCACACCACAACAGATCGGGGGCAAAGCTCACATCCTCGTGCAATGACCTTCTTGGCTGTGTGAATTTTTCCAGCCACCTCTTCTAGTCGTGCTAGCGCGACATATCCTGGTCCATTGTGGACATTAGTTTTGACAGCTGACTCCAACAGGACACGAGCGCGGTTGATGTCTTCGACTGGTACTTCTTCGCCCATGGCTTCCTTCTTACTTAGAGCGGTCATATATCCCTTGGGGTCTACTGATGTTGATGTGCCAGATGTCGTAGAGGTCTGAGTGCCGGGTGTACTTGCTGCTGAATCGAGTCGTACGGTCAGCGCAGAAAGTTGGGCCGCACCGATACTGGCGAGGTTTGTCGTCATGCCATCGGCGTCGTTTGTGGATATCGATGTATCGAGCTCGCCACTCTTTGACGCAGCAGATAGCACGCTGTCCGGAACGGCGTACGATCTCGCATTCGCCATACGGGCTTCGCGCGCACGCTTTGCTTTACCCGTCATATCTCCAACCTCTGGTAGGGCTGCCCATTCTTCTTCGGATACGCCACCCAGGGCTCGTTTTAGGTCGGCGAACTGGAGTTGGATCTTTGGGTTGTTTCGTTCGTATTCTTCGCGTTCTTGTTGCTCTCGAGCTTCCCTACGGCGGACACAATCGGTATCTGTTCGTGGAAAAAAACACGATGAATACTTCGACAGTAAAGACGGAGGGGAGGGCAGTGGGAAACGAAATGGGATGCACTAACCTTCTGGCTCTACGCCGTTTGTCCATCTTCTCGTCAACCTCTTGGTATATGCGGTCCGCCTCGTCGTCGTCCTTGTCGTAGTTCATGCCACTGGAAAAGAGACCGACTTCGTTGTCGGGGTCCTGGAAACGATCCTCATCCTCATCTCTCTCTTCCTCCTTCTTTTCGGTGACACCGTATGCAGATGGAGCGGCCTGACCGAGTGATGCAGCGCGCTTTGCTAGCATCTCCTTCATCTGCTCCTCAGACGGGCCCTCACGAGCTGGTCCGAGATCGCTTCGAGTCGTGAAACCCGTAGCACCTCTACCCAGACCAGCCACATAATTCTCGGGCGCAGGCATCGAAAGGAAATCGCGGCGACTCATTTTGGCGGTAATGTACGGCTCTCGACTACAAGGGATAGTTGTGGCCCTTGCCTGGACGGGTGCGAAGGCTGCGCCGAAGACGATTATCTGGCCACGGAGGATTCCGGGGGTGATTCAAGGCAACTGCACAGTTAGCAGTACCAGTCCGGCGGTCCACGGTGCGATTATTTGCGTGTGCTGAAGTTGGGGCGCGGAATCTTGCTGGCTCGTCGCGACGTCGATAATAATTTGAGCTTGGGCTGACGCGCATCACGTGAAACCAGAGCTCGAGTCACGCTAACCCAAAAAGTATGTTTGCGACAGGCTTTCGCATACGCGTTGCTTGTAGGCATTGGATTTGTAATGAGCTTCAAGATTACTGGCCGAATCAATCTGGTTCTGGGGAAAAGAAGCAGGAATTAGGATGTAGGCCTCGCACAGCTGGCAGATGATATGTGCTAAGGGTAATGTGCTTCCGCGTGGAAGCGGTCGCAGCATTCATGTTTATGTAGTAAAAGCTTGCAGATACTGCAATGTTGTGTTATATTTTTTTTATTTGGTCAAAACACCTGCGAGACAGGCATCAGATAGACTCTTGATATACTATTTTACTTGTCACTCATTCTCGCTCAAGATGTCGCTGTTGGCGATGCAGGTGCCTTTCCGTTGCTAGACTGCAGTGCATGAAGTGGAGAGATGGGCGGTAGTGGTGGAACTGGTTCCTCTGTAGCTGCAGCTGCAGCTGCATCGCCCCTTAGAGACCGTCCGCTGCAACACGTTAATAGTGTATCCAAGGAACAGCCGCCGTGCCCTCACCTTTTCGTTTTTCTCAGTTTTCCCCCAATCCATTTTTTCAAGCTTCGACTTGTGGAAGGCCGCTCCGGGTCTGCTGCATTGGGAAGGTCGGCTTGGCCTATGCTACTTGTCTGACTTCGCGGGCTGAGCTGGCTGGCCTCTGGTGTTGGGTCGTCATCTTCGAGCGGTGGAGCATGTCTTTCGACGTCGCCATTGACTACAACGAACCAGCCCAGCTTTTCGCCTGGCGCAACCTTGTCGCGTAGTTCAGCAATAGCTGCGCCCTGGTCATCACCTAGCCCCATAGTCTGAATCTCGTCGACATCTATGCCAAGCTTGATTTCACGCACAGTGTCGCATACGTAAGCATATGGCTGGTCCTTGACAGAGAGGTCCTCAGGGTCGTACTGTTCAATGAACTGCAGAGCGGGCAGCTTGGCCATTATTTCTGGCCACTGGTGCTTGAAGTTGGTGGTCATGGCGGCCACTGTGGCCGGGGCCATGAGCCATTCTGGAGCAGCATCGTCGATGTTTTGGAGAATGATATGTATGCGGACTTGTGCACGGGGCCAGCGGAAGCCGTGTACAAGCCAGGTGGGCATGTCGAAATACGAGACACAGCCGAGGGGCAACTTAACAGGCGGAACGCGCCGTCGGAGGGCGGGGACTCGACGGGTGGAGACTGGAAAGAGAGGCGTAAAAGGCGGAATATGAATGCGAGCATTGACACGCTATTTGAGACGTTCAACGAAATCTGGCTGGGTCGTACATGATGCTAACCACCAGCCAGGGTCGACTTCCGAGGAGGGTTTTTTGGCGTGGTCTAGACGAGGCCTGCTGATGGTAGACGCCTTCTTGGGATACAGACAGGCAACGGAAAAGCAAAAACACGATGGCGGGTGCAACGCTCGAAAGGCCGGCAGAGAAGTGGATCACGGCTGGGCATCATACTTGTACTAGTAGTGCGATGCCAATGCGGCGGCGATGGGAGTGCCCGGAGGTAGTGGTGGTGGTGGCAGTAGTGCGCGGAAGGGGGGAAGGGGAAAGGTAGGGGAGGGGGGGGGGGGGTGGCTGGGATCAGGGAGAGGTGGTGACGATCTGCATAGGGCAAGGGGCGGTGCCTGGCCCCGCTCGCGCTAATGCACCGCCGCACCCAGCGGTCCTCGTCCTGCGCGTCATCGCCAGTCAGATGATGATGCCCTTGTTACATTCTCCTCGGCCATCCCGTGGGCTAAGCCGACCAGAAAGCGACTTGTCCACTGCCCATCGTTTTGCGACGTGGCACCATGCCGCTGTAGGCACTCTTCCCCGTGCCCGAGTGCATCACGAGTACTAAAGCGCGTACAGGCATCTACTGGGCAAAAAGGTACCACATGTAGCCTGGCCTCCTTCACTGCCATGCCCTAACCCCCATACAGTCATGGAACGTCTACAATGCCGACAACATCGCCCGCGTCAAGGCCGACGAGGCCGCCGCTGCCGCCCGTGAAGCTGCCGATGAGCAGCGCATGCAAGAGCTCGATGCTGAACGGCGCGCCGCTATCCTGCGAGGCCAAACCCCCCCGCCATTGCCAGAGAACGTGCCCCAAGATGGAAAGGCGCCCAGAAACAAAGATGATCGCGGGCATCAGAGAAAGAGGAGGAAGCTTGCCGGCGAGGATGACACCGACATGGACATACGCCTGGCCAAGTCCATGACAGCTTCTGGGGGCGACGACAGTGATGCCAAAGTCCTGAAACTACGGAACACGGCCATCGATGCTCCTCTGCAAGACCATGCCGGGAACATCGACCTGTTTCCCGTTGACATGAAGGAAGCCGTCAAGCGCGAGAAAAACGCCGAGGCAGAAAAGGAAAAGCGGAAGAAAGAAAAGGCGTTTGAGGACCAGTACACGATGCGCTTCTCCAACGCTGGAGGAAGAGGGGGGCTAGACCAGCCCTGGTATGTCGCCCAACAGAAGCCCTCGCGCGACAACGGAAAGGACCACGACCCAGCAGCAGACGAGGGCTTTGTAAACAAAGATGTCTGGGGAAACGAAGATCCGCGACGCAAGGAACGAGAACAGGCACGAATAACGTCCAACGATCCTTTCGCCCTCATGCAGCAGGCTCAGGCCCAGCTGAAAAAGTCCAAGCGCGACAAAAAACTGTGGGCTGAGGAGCGTGATCGCGAATTGCGCGAACTGCGGAATACACAGGAGCAAGAAGATGGGCGGAGCAGACATCACAAGAGGAAAAGGCGAGACCACCATGATGACAAGGACGATATTGCTACATCATCACGGCACAGGCATCATCGTAGGAGCCGAAGTCGTAGCCGGGACAGACATGAACACAGGTCTTCGCGCCACAGTGACAAACGGCGAAGTCGCAGTCGAAGCAAGGACCGTGACCGCGACCGCCATAGGCATAGAGATCGACATGAGCGGCGTCACAGGTCCAAGTCGAGATGATTTCAGACTATACAGGAGCACATGACAAGTCCTTATTCTTTCATCTCAATCAAATATGTTTCTACCTTGCGAGGTCAAAATGGCTCGCCAAATCGAGAAGATCACGATCCTTGATTAGCATCACTTTGCATAATCCGCCACTGCGCATGAAATCACCCTAGGATGAACCTGTACCCAGTAGAAACTAACCCAGGCAATACAATACTCGACTCTGAGAAATTTCCACACCATATATTGTTTTCCAACCATTCATTATCAACAGTCCCGCCAAATCAATTCGACATCAGTCCATCTTTCTCCAGACGGGCAAGTTTGATTGTTGGTTTTTCTGTAAGACTTGCATTGCGGGGTTATGCATGTAAGAGAAATGGAAAAAATCCAGTATCCGAAAAGATAGATTAGGATTGGGAAAATAATATGTAGCACGTCTCGTTTTCTGTCGATTGGGACAGATGGAGCATAGAATTGCGGGGAGAAGTGACATGCTTTTGGGATACCTGGGGGGGGGGTTTGAACACATATATGAGATGTGTTCGTAAGAGCAAAAGAGAAATACTAAAACGACCGGAAGAAGCGAATCAAAATTGTACATTTTTGTAGGGCAAATCTACTTGGATATTGTTTTTCTTTTTCAATAACGCACCGTGATCACAATAGAGTAGTGGAATTATACTCCGGCATAAGAAAAGATTATCGATATAATTAGCAATCTAAGAGAATGAAATACATCAGGTACTCCATATACATTAGTGCAGACTGGTAGTGGGTAATATAAATGCCCATGCTTCATTCGGTCGTATTCTTCTACTGATAAAAGGAGCTGGGTGATTAGAAAGTACACAGCTGTGGGTTAGAAAACTGGCACTGAAGAAGAAGCCGCTTTAGCTGCTGAGTGATGGTCTCATGAATATATATTAAGCAGCATCTGCAATAGCAGATCGAGTAGTGATGGCTATAGCAGTGGGATATCACCATAGTAGGGGTTGTACGAGGGGATTAATGATGTGTTATTGTGGAGCTGTCAGTGCTTGAAGTACGAATATAGTCTATACATATATTCTAGAAGAACTAGAAAAAGATATACGATATATTCACACTACACGCACTACGGGTCGGTGAACAAATCTGACTATAATAGTGATAAATCTAGAAATAAGATAGCTACCCACTCTCAGAGCTCTCATATGACACACTAATGCCTCACTTTTACAAGTTATGAGCCTGGGTTTAGTTAGTAAGACGTTGTATACATTCACGCCGACGCTTCCTGGGAGTCTGATTCAAACAATGCCATATCATCTCAAGGATACGTATTGCAGATTAACGAAATGACAATCTCCTGATCTTAAAACATACCTCAAGAAACTCGGCATTATTGGTCGCTGCACCCCACCCATATAGCCACGAATCGAACGGACTTGCAGAGCGCTTCAATAGAACCATCATCACCGCCACTAGAGTAGTGATTAAAGAAGATAGTTGCACTTTCCTATGACATGAAGCTATTACTACAGCAGTCTTTCTCAACAGCGTAGTGCCGCATAGCACCCTATCTAACACGCCACAACAGCTGCTCGTTAAGAAGAAGCCGACTGTCAGTTCTGAAGTGCGAGTTGAACTGCCAGTGACCTCGAGAGGTTAGCGCAAACATTGATACCCTTTCTTATGGTAGTTTGCTTTCCAAAGCTTGGTTGCTCGACTCTGATGTTTCATGGTATAGGTCTAGAACATCGACGACTTCTACTCCCTTCAACCTGCAAGGGGGACGATAATTGTTGCTGAACAACAGAGGATATCAAACGATGATCAAGGAATAGTGCGCCTAACCCAACCCGCCTCCTCTACGATGGCTCAATGCGCCCTCCAGAACTGTGGTTGTGATGAGAAGCCTCTATAGTAATGAGCAGCCGCTGTGGTACTAGTAATTGGTGTTCGCAGTAGTAGTAGGCTGCTAAAGTAGACTATTGTATAATTCGACTAACAACTACGTGCTAAGAGCTAATTTGATAAAAGATTGATTGAGCTAATAAACGCTGCTCCCTAGTTTTCCTTTCGCGCGGTATATGCTACATAAATAACTCGACTATAATCTGCAATCACTCTTCTGTGATAATGTAACGTGTCTACAGAAGTGAGTCTTAATTATACTTTTATAATCAAGACCTACATAATAATGGTGGGTAACAAGGACAGCATAGGAGAATGACAGTGTTATAGATAACGATAATTTTTCAGATTGAGTCATAGGATTATTCAATCCAATGACCAGCTGGGTATATCATATGTCATCAAGCATCAACTAATAAACATTCACCTCCACACATAACCATTAACACCCTCGCTACCCAATACACATTTGCACAACAAACGATGCTTACATTTTAGAAACATCGCCCTTCTCAACAATATCTGTGTTCTTGACTTCACCAGCACTACCTCCCCCACCGACGGGCTCGTTTGCAAAGTCGCTGTACGAGCCCTGCTCATGGAGCTCAAACAGCGGCTCCATAGGCTGCACGTCCTGGCGCAAGATGTGCTTCTTCAGGTACCACGGCAGTTTCCTGCGGTAGTAAGACGAGAATTGGCGGTTTCCGACGTCAAAGACAGTGTCGAGTTCTTCTAGAGTGAGCGCCTTAGTCTCAGGCAGCAGGAAGTAGGCGTAGACGAAGCCGAAAAAGTTCCAGCCTGCATACCAGCAAAAGGCACCCGTGGGCGTAAATGCTGCTTCAAGTGCTGGCCATGTGAGGGAAAGAATAAAGTTGAAGCCCCAGCATGTGGCGGTAGCGAAGGACATGCCTACGTCGCGGAGGTGGAGTGGGAAGGCTTCGGCCGAATATGTAAACGGGACGGGACCTTCGCCGGGCGAGTAGACAGCCATGACTGCGACATGTTAATAACTGAATTTGGACATAAGCAATGTATTGGTCTGACTCACAGGTATAAATAGCAGCGGCAATGGATGCAAGACGTCCCTGTGTAGGCGTGCCATCTGGGTTGTTGGGAAGGTAAAAGGACAGACCGCACCAAAGAAGGCAGATGCCCATAAGCGGGAATGTGGTCAGCAGAAGATTACGCCGGCCGAAAGTATCGATAGTGTAGATGGCCGGAATCGCAAAAAGGAAGTTTACTATGCCCGTGCCCATAGAGGTTAGCAGTGCTTCGGACCTACTAAAGCCAGCGGATCGGAAAATCGAGGTGCTGTAATAGGCAATAACCTAGAGAGAGAAAGGTTAGAAAGCGTCTGGTGCCGAGACTGAGGAACGTACATTGACTCCGCAGAACTGTTGCATGAACATGACGAAGAAGGCGCTCTGAGCAGCACGCCGGTTACGCCGGACGAGGAAGAACTCTCTCATTGGGTTTCGGCCCTCACGTTCTGCATTCTCAACCTCAAGAAGTTTGTACGCGTAGTACATGTCACGTGCTGCCTGGACCTTGGTCCTTCGGAGACGGCAAAGGGATTCGAAAGCTCTGTCAAACTTCCCCTTCTCCATGTACCTTTGCACACGTCAGTACACACAGGAATAAAAGGGATTAGAAGGACACATACCAGCGGGGTGATTCTGGACAGAAGTAAACCTGGGCACAGACAATCATTGGGGGAATACTGGTACTTGCCAGCATCCATCTCCAAGGCGAAGTTGGCCCCCCGATGATTGTCACGTTCTGGAAAGCGACAGATACAATAAAACCCAGCATTATTCCGAAGGCCGTAAATGTCTGCCACGCCATAGTGAGTGCGCCGCGAATATTCTTGGGGGCAGACTCTGCTGCATAGACGGGTGTTGTTGATGACTTTGCACCAACAGCAAAGCCAAGCATGAATCGAGCGACAAGGAGGTTTGGCCCTACATACAAGGGTCAGTGCATGAATCACGTGCATTTTTACCAATTCCACTTACAGCTTTTACAAGCAGCCATCCAGATACCAGTGATAAAGGATATTATACAGGAAATGAAAATGGTGCCACGGCGGCCAAAGTACTTGTTCAGTGGCGCATTGGACCAGCAGCCAATGAGTGTGGAACAGAGATATGGGGCGCCATTAAGCAGTCCTCGAAGCCATACTTGGTCTTCACCAATGTTGAACTCTTCAAAGTAGAATTCCTGTATAGCGTCAGTGAGCGAGATTTGTGGAACTGGAGTTGATGGAAGACTAACCTGGGCACCGTTCACGGCTGTTTGGTCCATACCCTGCACAATAGCAGATCCAGCACAGAGTGTTACCATAAAGTACAACATAAATGGCTGCGACCACCTATGACTGATCTCATGTCGCAGCACATCCTTCTCTTCCGTTGAAAGTTCATTCACGTATTCGAAGCCATCGTCGCGTTGGCCGACGCGGGCAATCAGTGCTCCTTTGCGGAACGCATCGAGGTCCTCTTGAAGTCCTTTCTCTGTGCACCAAGCCTCAACATCAGCCAGGACCTGCTGCTCACTGAGGCCTGCTAGGGGGTTACGGAGCTTGGCGGCAACAGATGCCTGTCGATGTTGAGCACCGGCGTGTTCGTGATGTTGTGTCGTATTGAAATCGGTCTTGCTGCTACCCGAAGAGGAAACTGTAGGCTCAGCAGGCTCGGTAGCCTCGATATCAGGCTTGCGGCGAGACATGATGACGGCTGGATACTTTTGTCGCGTCTAGTCAAGTATCCCCACTTGAAGGGACAACCGCAGATCGTAAAGTGGATAAGACAAGAAAACACACAACAGGCGCAAGCGAACCATGGCAGCTCCTGTTAAATAGTGATCTCTGGACACACATGTTATACCCGCTTTTCTCTCCATGAAAGAGTGGGCCTGTTTCTGTCCAAGGCGACGGTCCCCAGAGTCTCTCCACATTCATCCAACATGTTGGCGCATGTAACCATACATGGGGATCAGGCAACGGGGTGGCCGTACCAAGCCGTGGAGTTGTGGTTTCATGGAGTAGTCGTTTCTGGGACTATGTCATAGTGGGTACATTTCAGGAATTGGCATCTCGGCGGAAGAAGGCTGCCTACTTGGCAGCGGAGCGTGCTACGGCTGCCAAGAAGACACGTGAAGTCTGGGTTCAAGGTGTCCAACGACTCTTGCGCAGTTCCGGCCAATAGTATTTGTGTCGGCAAACTGTTGAAAGGATGATGGGGATACAGAACGTTTACGACGCCACATGACGAGCTTGGCGTCAAGCGGGCTTCGTACTTGGCGTTGAGCATCACTACCAGAAGAGGCAATCCGTCTTATCGAAGTTCGGCATCGAGATCCGCTCTTGGCCTCAGAATACTCGGGGCTAAAACTTCTCGCGCGCGTATCGAGGCCTAGGTCGTGTTGCGGTTTATGTAGAGAATATCGGTGAGCAAATAGTCAGCCAAAACAACACGTTCTTTGGCCAACTAGACATATAATCATGGAGATATTGCTGGGAAGATAGATCTCGGAATCAAATTAGTACAAGGCGCAGTTTTACGCCATGTACAATGCTAAGAATCGGAGGGTTTCCCTGAATTTTGGCATTATAACTGCTTCTTGGCCAGTGCCCCAGAGCCCAGGACCAGACTATTTGAGGGGGTCACACTAGTGATCAAGAGATACGGAAAGCTTCCAAGACCCTTGAGACCAAGAGAGAACTCACAGTGCTAGTGTGAAGTTTTGATCCACTTAGGCATATTTCCAAGCGCCGCGCAGTAGCAGGCGGTCAAGCTCTTTCGCCACGGTAGTGTTCGAGATTTTCAGCTTCAAATAGTGCTGACTGGTTCTGCGCTCGTCTTCGACCCATATATTCGTGCCGTTGGGGTATACATAGTTGTACCCGTTTGCGTTCCCATATTCGAACCACTTGCCTAGACCTTCACCGGCGTACACCATAGTCAGGTGATCCCAAGAGTATTGTGAATGGTTGGTGCCGCCCCACCACACAAAGCTCGCTCTTACAGGGTCGTCGGAGGGACCGCATGTAGTAAGTCGTGCCCCCGTTAAGACTTCCACGCCAACCTCTGCGCCCAGAAAAGTCATGGGTACACAGTCCGGCCAGGTGTTAACGACATGAGGAGCTTCTTGGCGGGCAAAATTGTACTCTTGGTCAAGGGACCGCTCGGGCAGGTACCCACCACCCATAACGACTAACTCCTTTACCTTTGCTTTCACAAGGGCATATCCATCCAAGGGGGAATACTGGTCTGCAGTGCTGTTGAGGAGACCGGATATCGATCCCATGAAGCCGATTGAGGCTATGGTCACGCTACTGTTCTTCGCCTCACTGAGTGTTTTGCGATATAGCTCCACCGGATTCCATGTTTTGTTCACCTGGAACCAGGGCACAGAGCCGCCAGACCATTCAGCAGCCACTTTGCTCGCGTACTCCCCTCCAAACGGTTCAGAAGAGGTGATATTTCCGTAGGGTCTCGGTAATCCAATGGGAACTGAGTGGTAACCATAGTGGTTGATAATGGCAGATGCTGCAAGCGCAGAGTATGTGGAATTGACGTTGACGTTAACGGCCAGAAGATTGGTGTTTGGCAGTGTGCAAGCAAGAAGTAGTGCTGCAGCATCGCTAATGCAATTTTAGTCAAAAGCCCATAAACCGAAAAGTCTGAGAACGTACTCGATAGCATCAAAGATATCGGTGTCTACAATCAAGTTCTTCACCTGATATTCGTCTGGCTTTACAAACGGCAGCAAAGGCAGCAAGGCCAATGCGTATCTCAGTCGAAAAGAAGCCAACATAACGGCGAGAAAGCTGGGCGAGTGGAGTTCTACAAAATTGATGGTGGAACTACTCGCGACGAGACCCTTCTAGAACCTCATCTGTTTCAGAAAAATCAGAAAGCCGTAGGTTGCTTCAATGTATCGACGAGATCACTGGCTTATATGCCGTGAAGCGTGCGCAAGCAAGTGAAGAGTAGAAGTCCAAACTGATCACTCAGTAACCACTTTAGGATATCGAATCGACATCTGGACCCACGATAACGCACCCCACTATTGGGACACCCCCAATTGAAGCGACGGGTGGTATCGGTGGTCCCCCATTCCGTACTATCTCGACCTCTGCGACCGGAGGTGTGCGGCAAGGGTATACAATCCCTTATTACAGGCTGTATAAAAGACGTTTTTCGTATATTGACTCACCTTCAATCCTATAATGTATGGTTGCTTTTTCAAGCTGAAGGCTGGGGAAGAGTGGCTGGAGGAGAGTGACGCGTTGATCGTTGGCAATGCGCCGATTTAAAAGTGGGATGGTGCCCAGTCGCAATGTTGTACCACAGCACGCCATTCTTAACCCCTGCAAACCACCAAGATCGTCGGCGAGGATGAAGAACCCCACTACCATCGGCTTTGCGACACTAATCGGCGCATCTGCTTTGCGTATTGATTCTCGAAGCGCACAAGAAGTCATTGCCCAGCTGAACCTGGAGCCAAACCCAGAGAAGGGCTATTATCGACAGACATTCGAAGATAGCGGGAAAAATAACAACCGGTCTTACTCTACAGCCATTTACTACCTGTTGGAAGGTGAAGTGGGCGCTTCGTACTGGCATCGTGTCATCGATGCTGTTGAAATATGGCACTATTACGCCGGCGCACCATTGCAACTCGACCTTTCCTGGAATAACGGAACGGTGACCGAGCACAAGCTCCCAGGAAATGATATTTTCAAGAACCAGGCTCCACAGATCATTATTGAGAAAGGACAGTGGCAAAGAGCTACCAGTTTAGGCAGTTGGACGCTCGTTGGGACAGTGGCACCGGGCTTCACCGAGAAAGGATATGAATTACCGCCACCTGGATTTCAGCCCAACGACGGTAGAAAATGGTCATGATGGTGTACTACCCACCAAAGTTCAGTTGGGTGGATCAAACAGCATGCTACCAATGCAGCTATTAAGGCCTCAAAGTAAAGCTAGCTGTGTAGAAAAATGGAAGAGCTGCGACTTCGAATGACAACGTAGTACGGAGGTGCCTCACAAAAGTTTTGTCCCACGCTAATCTCGGCGCTTCGGCATAACTCTTCTTGGCGCAACTCCCACCTTTGAGCTGAGTAGCTGTACGATTTGTCTGTATCTATCGTTA